GGTACTCCGAACTTTGTCATAATTGCTCTGCTAGAATTTTTCATAGGCTGCTGCTAGAATTTTGCCGGCGCACACTTCGAAGCCTGAACATGTGTGTGCTCGTTCATTTCATTTTTGTTCTGTCCATAGACAAAGTTCAGTCTATTATTAACTTGAAACAAAATATCGAACTTAAATAAAGAGGTTTTATGTTTAATCATCGAATCATGAAAACTTTACCATGTTTATAGAAAAGAAAGAGTAAGAATTATAATGACAGGAATATATTTTTCCTATATTGCACAAGCGAGCAGAATGCAAGACAGAACTAAATCTCCAGAAGCCATTTTCTCTATAAATTAGTGGGTACGTTATACGCTGTATAGATTATTTCGTTCACGCAGTTGTGTCATGGCACTGTATAAATAAAAATCCGTGAGAAAAACGCTGGAATGCAGCAAATAATGATGAAATTTAAATCATATTTAAATTCAGATTATATTTAAGATAAATCCAACCCTATATCAGAAATTAGTACAATACCTTATAGATTTTCTTTATGAATGATTTAGTAGTAAATAATAACTCATTGTTTACTTTTTAAATAACTGCTATAAATTATTGATTGGTTATTAAGATAAATTAAACTTCCAGACGGTTAATTGTTTGTTGTCGAACTATTTCCGATATTTTGGTACATTAAGACCATAAAGACATTAGGATCCAAAATATCTTCAATATTGTCAGCTATTGCCTTAACCAGTGACGTACCAAAAAAAAAGTATCGGTTGAGCAATCACTTACCATGACAATAAAAAAATCTTGTAATTACAGATAAAAAACCTCTAGTTAATCTTATTTTAAGTTTAATAATAATAATATTAATTATTAATATTTAATATCTCTTATAATGTTATCTTTATATAAAAAAATAGCGTGTAAGCTAATCATAAAATAAATGGATATCCAATGCAATATATTAGGCTGATGCTCTAAGAGTGCACTTACAGTCCTGCAAAAGGGGCTTTATTCAATAATATATATTCTTGCACTGGCATTGTCTATAATTTTAAAATTTACACAACGATGTAATGTGATTAGATGTATCACGGCCTCAGAGGATACCTTCACGCTTGTCTGAAAATTTCAAAATTAAAGGTAATTCTATTCCACGAAGATCACTTTGGATTGTTTCAGAAGTGAAACATAAACATAAATTAGTTTTTTTTATTTTTTTCTTAACAGAAATATATTATCATATACAGAGAAGACCAGGCTACTAGTAACATAGTAAGTTGCCGGACGAATTTACGTTTACCCGTTTTGCGTTCGTACTCGAAATTGCCGGCTAGTCGGCCAGTCAGGCAGTACGCAGTTGCAGTTGTGCTTGGACGGGTCGGTCGTGACAGACTAGGAATACGACGCGAGGAGTGCCGAGTATTTATTATTTTCATTTTAAGTGTTTACCTTCACTTGAGGTAACATTTAAAATGAAAATACTTAAATATTTATCATTTGAGTGTGTTTACAAGCCAAAACTAAAAATAAATAAATTCTCTAAACCCCCAAAAAAACTAAAATATTACTCTAAATAAGAAAAAGTTATAACAAGTGTTCAAAAAGATCATCTTCTTGTGCTAGACAGAAGCCTAGGCGGTCGTAAAATCCCCGTCTGACATTGGCTAACATATTAGGGCTAATAGTTTGGAAAGCCTCTCGTATTTTTACTTGAAGCTCATCCAGGTTATTAGCCCTATTATGACCATACACTTTGGATTTTAAATAACCCCACAAAAATAAGTCATTGGGAGAAAGATCTGGTGATCTAGCGGGCCACAAAATAGTTCCATGTCCACTAATTAAACGGTTGGGAAAAGTATTGTTCAAATATTCTTGAACAATACGGGCATTGTGGGCAGGACAACCACCTCAGCAATTTGATTACTTGAAAACGTGGGATTTTGATCCGCGGTAGCACAAATGAACACTTGCTTTAACTCCTGTTCTTCATTAATCAACACATCAGGCTTTTTGTGTTTTTGTGGGAACACGCACTCATGTGTTTCAAAATTATTAATAACTCTTGATACAGGAGGTAAAGATGAAATTGGCCTATTTACAAAAGTTTGTGGAAAAATTGTTTGTATATTCCGATAAGACCTATTTTGGAAATATCATTTTACAATTTGAATTTTCTCACGAACTTCGTAAACATCCATTATTTTACTTAAAAAATAAATTTTACACTAGAACTGTCGCGAGAATCTATGTATTCGTTTAGGCTATTAAAACACGAATAAATACAAATCTATTTTATCTAGATATCTATCTGATATCTATCTACCTATTTTTATTTTGTCGCATTTTTTCGCCCGCTTTTTATCCGGCGGACGGGTATATGCTAATTCGTCCGGTTCTGCCTATGTTACTACTACGGTGGTCCGGTCTGTATACTGTGTGATATAGAACACCCAGTATATGCTTAGCTATATTTATAATGTATTATCGGTTGATTGCCTGTATGAAATGTTGTGCCATTAACCACGTCTGGCATGGTGTCAAGAGCAGACTCACTGGAATCAGGAGTGGAATCGTGTTTTTTGAGTGACGAGTCACGTGAAGATCACGATGGTCGTAGAAGAATCCGCTGCTAACATGGAGAAAGGCACCAACTTCAATTTTGCATGGAGCATGAGACTACGTTTACTAAGGATGTTATAATTTAGGGTGCCATAACAGTCGGAAGTATGTCACTTTTAGTTTTATGTACAGAAACATGGATGCTTAGTCCTACATGAATTACGTATTACAACCTGTCTCGTTGCTCTACCTTCAGCAACTGCAAGATACAATTTTCCAGCAAGACAATGCCAGACCACATACCGCTGCAGTTAATAGAAACTTCCTCCGACAAGCTAATGTAACCCTTCTCCCGTAGGCTGCAAGATCACCAGATTTATCGTCTATTGAAGATGTCTGAGATGTGATAGGTACTAACAAGGCTGAGTCGGGTGCTACATCTGATATTGGATGTACAGGTCTACGACGCAGCATGCCACGATGAGTTACAGAAAGTCAAAACTTACGAGGAGGTGCATACTGCCATTACTCGCCGACGAGTATTTGACATGAGCTTTCATGAGGTTTTCTGTGACTGAAAAGCCCGATACGTGATGTTATCTGCCTACCGCACTCCGATCATTCGAAAATCTCATTGCTTTGTTGCCTCTTTACTTTTTGGTTGTCGCTGTTAACTGAGGTTTAGAATGTTTAGAAGGGGAGTTAATCACCGCGACCTTATAGATCTATTGTGTGTTAACTGAGGTTACAATTCTTCTCCATTGAGTTCTATTGTGAGTTGCTTCTGCCCATTCATTCTGTATGTTAATCCCCTTTAAGTTTTCGTGGAAAATGTCCTTGTAGCTTTTTAGTTGTCCACCCGGCCTCCTCTTACCGTCTACAAGCTCACCGTAAAGCAGAGATTTTGGTATGCGGTTTTCTTGCATTCTGCATACGTGACCAGCCCATCTTAAGCGGGATTTTGTAACCATGACTCCAATAATCTCGCAGTTAGCTTTTTCAAGGACCGAAACGTTTGAGACATGATGAAACCATCGGATTCTTAAGATTTGTCTAAGGTGTCTCTGTTGCAACTTGTTTAATGCCTTCATGTGTCGGCGGTACGGCACCCAGATTTCGCTCCCATATAACATGGTGGGGATTATAATTGCTCGGTACACTGCCAGTTTCGTTTTTCCACTCAAGTCATGATTGTAGAAAACCCTGTCCGTTAATTTCCAAAATGCTCTTGAGGCTCTGCTAATCCTGTGCTGAATTTCAGAGTCGATATTGGCTTTTTCCGAAATCAAACTGCCGAGGTAATTGAATTTCGCTACATATTCCAATAGCTCTTCTCCGATTTTTATAGCATTGTTGTGATCTTCCGGGGGAGTGCACATGATTTTGGTTTTGTCGATGTTTAGCTTAAGGCCCAAAGCCTCGTATGCGCAGGTACACGTGCCCAACATTTCTTGTAATTGTTGTAATGTGTTTGCAACTAGAGCGCATCAGCCATCAGCGTATTGAAGTTCTGTGATGAATTTTATACGTATTTTTGCCCTGAGTCTTTTTATGTTGAACAGACCGCCGCCGTATCTGTATCTAATACCCAATCCTCTCTCCTGCAGTTTGCTGTCCACTATAATGGAGGGCGCTGCCATGAATATGTTGAATATGAGAGGCGCTAAGACACATCCCTGCCTAACTCCCGTATTTGTTAGGAAGGGATCACTCAATGATCCCTGATGTGACACTCTTGACTTGTTGTAATGGAGGCTTTTACACATTGTAAGAAATTTGTTGGGTACTCCGAACTTTTTCAAAATTACCCAAAGTGTACTGTTCACAGAGTCGAAAGCTTTTGTTAGGTCGATGAATGCAACATAAAGTTTAGACTGCTGCTCTTTTACTTTTTCCTGTAGTTGGCGGATGGAAAATATGGAATCGACAGTGCCACGGTTGGTGCGAAAACCTGTTTGCAATTCTGGAAGGATTTTTTCTATATGTGGGTACAGGCGGTTTGACATAATTTTTGCAAGAATTTTCCTGTGATAGCCAATAACGAAATTCCCCGGTAATTTCCGCAGTCTGATAAACTTTCTTTGTTCTTAAATATATTCACTATTTTCGCGTTGGAAAAGTCCTGAGGTACCTCTCCGCTTTTTTAAATTTTTTTCTTAAATTTTAAGACGACAATTATTCAATTGTTAAGAATTCCTTTCAAATAAATTTGTTTCAAAATGTCATCGATTAATATTTATATTTATCTCAACTACTTTCCAAAATATTAGTAAAATCGTTGTAAAATATATTTAAATTTACTGGGTGTTGAGTTATTTCTGTCACACAGTTATATGTTAATAGTAGTTCCAAAAATCTTTAAAATAGAAACGCCACTGGTCTTAACAATGTTTAAACTATTAGTGGACTTCTTTTTACGACTTTACCTACCAAAACAGGGCCAGATGTATTTCATTTGTTGTTATCATTTAGCGTTCTTTAAATATTTCTATTTTTTGCCAGTTTGATTCTCCTCCCTGCGTGCAGTGTGGAAATATAATTGTTTAGAGTTTTCAAATGACGTACAGTGTTGTAGTATAATAACATTAATTAGAAGAACTTTTGGGGATTAATAATTCGTTTTTGTGACTGTGTGAAAAATGAGTTGCCCGAAAAAGATTGCGTTGAAACACGCAGCGGCAGTTCCGCTGTTGAAGAAAAAATCGTTTGAACGAATGACAGAAGGCTACCCAAGTAAGCAACTACTGTTAAAAAGTGATATTTTTTAAGAAAACCCAAACCAAAAAAAAATGCATTTTAAAACCACTTTATCCTCAAAATGCATCTTTTCTCGATAGTGTGTCAGTGGCTAAAACTGTTTATTATGCACTTTTTGAGTCGCACCTCAGGTATGCCCTTCCATTCTGGGGTACGTGTTGTGCGACTCAATTTGATCGCATTTTCAAGCGCTAGAAGAGAGCTGTTCGATATTCACTGGGACTAAACAGCAGCATTTTTTTAAAAAATTAAAAATATTAACTCTTCCTTCCCTATTTATATTTGAATCCGTTTGCCTAATACGTAAGCATGTATCAACTTCTCAAGAAAGACCATCTCAAACTTATCCACTCGGGAACGCGGAGCAAGATCTTTATCTACCTACCCCACGCTCAGAGTTAGTTAAAAGTTCAATATTATACAACTCGAAAAAAATGCACAAATCACCTGCCATTTGAAATCAAATCCATAACATCATTTTCTTCATTTCGCAAAGCATTGAAATCTTATTTACTAGACAAGGCTTTCTAGGCCGTAAATGCCTTATATTTTGATAATCAAATTTGATCTTGTAAACACTGGTCTAATATTTGCTATTACTATATTTACTATACACTTACTAAATATTTTTGAATCTTATTTTTATTTTTTTTATTCTTTGACATTGTAAACATTTATAAATGTTTATTTTAAACAATAAGACTGACAAATGTAATTTGTATACTTCTTTTGTATTCTCACTTTATCCTCAAAATGCATCTTTTCTCGATAAGGTGTTTTTTGATTCATCTCAATACCTTTATTTTTGTTAGAGGTAAAAAGAAAGTAACGATTTACAGCAATTTTACCATTAAAATCATGCATGCCTTCGCTTTTGGCCCTCATCAACACACCTATGATATAGAGTTTATTGTTTTTGTAATGTTACTGTCATTGAACACTCATATCAGGTCATATTATCATTGTTTGTTGGCAGTTACTGTCGGAAGTTGTATCAGGTTGTATCAGCTATTGTTGCTTTAATTTAACATGGTACAGTCAGATCATACAGTAAAGTAAAAAATGATATAATTTTAGTAAGTAAGTTTTGTTTTTTAGTAAGTAAGTTTAGTAAGTAAGTTTTGTAAAACTTTGTTTTAGTCCTTATAAACACACTTATGAATTTATTCTTTTTCTAATGTTACTGTTATTGAAAATCAATGATGGGCGATGGGTAAATACCCAATGTGTGTAATAAAGAAATTTAAGTATTTACCCAAATTTAATTTGTTTTGTAATAATTATACCATTGAGTTTACTTTATTCGATAGAAAATTATACTCTGAATAGAATGACACATCATATGTCAATTTTTTACATTTTCGATTTTCAATCTAGAGTGCCATGACTGTGTTAAAGACACTAATTTTTAATCAAGGAGCCTAGAAAAAATAGAGTTGATTATCTAATGTTTTTCGTGGCTTGTCCTGGCTGGTTGAAAGATACCCAAATCCTTTTTTTAATCATATCTCAATTTTTTCAAATGGAATAAGTGTGGTTCATTAGGATATTTGGAAAAAAACTTGGTATTTCGAGTCAAATTGTCGTTATGAAGCGCATGTTTCAAATAAACCATATGCATAAAATGTCAAAAGCTGACATATTAATGTCATTCTATTCAGAGTATCATTTTCTATCGAATAAAGTAAAAAAATACTGAGGATGTCATTTAAAAATCAAAAGTTCTAGTAATTTCCGGTAAAACAGGAAGTAACAGGAAGGATTAATCCACAGTTCTGGCAACACTGCCTCCGGCCTTCGGCAACCATTCAGTCTGTCGACTAAAAGCAGAACTTACTGCGGTGCGGTATTTTTCATCCGCTGCGCTGTAAACAACTATCAGCGCGCAACGGCGCGGCGCAGAGCTAAACTGAATCTCGGACAGCTTGTATAGCGGCGACGGTATCGCCAGCTACATCTCGGACATGTTTTGTGTCACGAATTTGCCTATTAGGTTGCGTATCTTCCCAATTCTTTCAATCAGCGATGGAATTTTACTGGTCATATTGAATTAATTTAAGATCTTTAGAGAATGTCATTATATCAGCAACATAATAAATGATTAACATAGTTGTTTTATGTAAAAATACATAGGATTACACACATTTAAGGTTCATTCTCACGATGCCTTCCGTTTCCATTCCATATCCGTTCCGTATTTTTTATTGTATTGACGCTATACGTAAAAGCTTCCGTTCCGTATCAGTTCCATACTTTTTATTGTACAATTTATATCAATACGAAACTTTTATTTTAAAAATTTGTATCTTTTGAAAAAGGTAATAGATTCTTAATTAAATTTGTGGGAGCAAAATGTTAACAGAGCTGGTTTAAATGTAAGAACTTGACAACACTGTTTCCGATACGCTTCAGTCCGTCCCAGAGTAGGCAAAAATCCAGAAGTATGTTGCAAAAATTATTTTTTTGTACGATTTCGTTTAAATTTGGGAAAAACATTCTATGCCAGTAGCCCGTGAACCCAGTTAGTTTTGGCTGACTTGAGAGTGGTTGGGGGTGGTGGGGGATTCATAAAATGGAAAAATCATCTTTTGACTAATACAGCTACCAAAATGCGGTAATAATATTTTACATTTCACTAAATTACGATCATGATTTTTGGCAGAGCCAAGATGAAACAGACAAATATTGAACAATTATTACTCCTCCGGCATATACAGGGTTTGTTATATATATTGACATCCTCTGTATCTTTTTATTCGACGTTTTCGAAAAAAGTGCCTTGAACAAAAGTTTAATGGTCTCGAATACATTTTTCAAAACAGTCTTCTTTGCATATACAGGGTGTCTTAGAAATCCTGTGCGTGGCCCAACTTTCTTATTTCAAATTAGTACCCAATTTTTTATTTGATTTTTATTTTCTCCTAAAAATTCTAAGTACTTTTTTGTAGTATACCTAATTTGAAATAAGATAGTTGAACCACGCCCAGACTTTTTGAAGCACTTTGTATATGTGAAATAAACTTTTTTGGCAAATTTATTCAAAACCACTTTCATTTGAGACAGTTTTCGGAAATGTCAAATAAAAAAGATAAAGGGGGTGTCAATGTATAAAAGAAAACCCTACATGATTAATTTAGTTAGTCTGATGTGTGATGTATTCGCCTAAATGCATTTTTTTGTAAAGTAATATCCATTATATCTGGACACTCCTTTTAAATGAATTATTGTTAAATTGTTATAATAGCTAGGAATACCCACAGTTGTCGCGGAGTGATATTACCCGTGAATCACTATATGGTTACCAGTAAAACTCATAAGAATCCTCTACATGATGTCATATGTAATGTCACAATGAGATAACAGGTATTCCTAAATTAAATAAAATACCCCGTATATGATATATTTAAATAGCATTTTTCCTTGTGATTTTGAAATGCCTACTTTGCTATCACTATTTTTAACCATTGACCAGTAAAATGGTAATATTTTCCACAAAAGCTTACCTACTATTTACTGATATTTTATTTTATAACAGCTGGAAGAAATGGTCACGAAGTGCACATTTTTAAATCTGAAAGAAAAATCCATTTCAATTAATTTAAAAATTAAGTACTGTCAAAATTTGTCAATTTGTCAAAAAATGTCATTTGACATTTATGATATACCTCTTCGGAAATCTTGAGAAAAATTACGTAACTTTATATTTCAAGTTCTTCTCTAGCTACTATAACAATTAATTTATGAGAAGTATCCACATAAAGGATCTTACTATACACATACGCATGGAGGCTTACGCTTCCAATAAATTTAATGTTGCGTTTTTTTGCGATTTTTTTGACTTAACTTTCCTAAGATAGAATATATGCCACTATCAAAAAAACCTTAAATGATTATGTTCTACTTTGACCTTTACCTAGTTTTTATCCAAAAAATCAAAATAAAAGATACTTTTTTACTTACCTTAACATTAAATTTACCGCAACCTGGAATTTACGTAAAACAAGTTATGACAATTTCACAATAATTATTGACAGCTTTAAGACAGATTTAAGCTAAGGTCGTCCGATTCAATTGTTATAATACTGTGTCACTTGAATGCAACGCCTACTATTTAAAAAATTGTAGAAAAAAGGCAGTTATTGGACACAATTTAACTGAAAATGTAGGTTTTGCGCAAAGTTTGTTTTACAGCCCCTCGAAAGAGACTCCGAATATGTTTTTTTGTTAGTTTTATGTGGTTTTCTCTTAACTAATATGTTTCCAATCTAATGTTATTGCCATAAATGCTAACTGTGGATGTTATTTTTTGCAACTTGGTTTGGACATATTGCCTACTGTCCGTCCGCCAAAAAAATATATTATGGAAGGAAAGGATATGGAACGGAAGGGAAACGGAAGGTAGCTGATACGGAAGGTATAGTAAGAATCAACCTTTAAAATACACTTTTTAACGTATTACAAATCTAACATTGACTTATTTCATAGTAGCTTTATTCCACAAAAAAATCCAAAGATTCTAAGTATTTTTATTATTTTTGCTTTCTTGTTTCAGTTCATCCTAAGCCCGACTGCAATAAATGCGTTGCTTGTTTGCAAAAAAGAAACATAGAGGAATACACTGCAACTCCTCTTCTAGCCTGCAAGGAACACTCCGTTATAAAAAGCCCAAAGTGTCATGACAAAGTTTTACTTGTATTATTCGTATTTTTGATTATTCTTGCTCTTGCTCTTGGGATTTTATTAATTTTAGAAGAGGGTAAGTAACAAAAACGGGTATGATAAATTGTATGACAAACAGCTCTTTATTTTTATAAATAATAACTTGTAATATACTGAAATAAAATATCAGTATCATAAGTCGTTACTAGGTAAAAATGTTCAGAAATGTAACAAACTTGTAATGTATTGCTGAAAATAGAATTTTAAGGACTATGTAAATACAGGGTGACGCCTCTCATACGCCGCGGAGGCTTCAAGAAGAAAAGTAGTTTATAAAAAAATTAAATTTTGGGAGCATAATATGTAGGTTAATTGAAAGCATTTTATAAAAATATAGAGTTCTACAAGGTGTTCTTAAAAAAGTTACGCATCAAAGTTGGTTTTTTAGTAATGGAACATCCCATATATTAATTACGCAAGTTACTCTTTTATTTTAAAAGAAACACCCAGTATATTATTCCGATATTCAATGGAGAATTCATATATCTTCAAAATACTGTTAGCCTACCCCTTAGACAGAGATTTTCCTAGATAGTTTAATTTTTATGATTTTACGTCAGTAGATCTTTATTATTTAATAAAATCTAGGTGGCTGTGATATATCTTGTGTTAATTTAACAAAAATTAAAGGATGTAGAGCAAAATATTCGACGATAATAAAAAATACAGGTTTAAAACTTCTTTAAATTAGTACAGAATTAAAACTAGATATAAACGTATATTTATGTGACAAAAATTATCTGGATGAAATGAAACGCTCAAAATACTTCTTTTCCTATTCACTGCACAAAATTATTCTCTTTTCAAAAAATCTTTTCATATTAAAAGGCATTTTTTTATGTGGAGTTCTACTTCGAAAAGCAGCCACAATAATCTTATCATGTTGTCGACAATAGTTTATCGAGTTTTGTAAACAATGTCTTTAACATATCCCCATAAGAAAAGTTTAGATAACTAAATCAGGACCATTTTATTCTATTAATTGGTGAACGCACACTGTAGTCACGAACTAATAGAATCATATCAATTCTCTCTGATATAGGGTAAGTTTTCATTTTCGTCAATTTCTGAGATTTTTTTTTTGTTTTAACTGACTCAAACTGATAACTAGTTATTGAAATTGTACTAATTTGACATCTGTGTTGAAGTAATGTCAGACATATCATAACCCCCTAGATTTTATCAACTACTTCGGTCGGTACTAAATCATAAAAATGAAAATATCTAAGAAAATCCTTGTTTGGAGGGTAAGGAAACTTAATAGTATTTTGAAGAGACATGAATTCCTCGTTGAATATCGGAATAATATATTGGGTGTTCCATTTAAAATAAAAAAGTAACTTGCTTTTAAATGTGACCAATGTTCGATATTAATTTTGTCTCACCCTGTATAACTTTTTGGGTTAAATTTTAATTTGATTTAAAGTAAGTACAATAGTTATTTTAACTACATATTCGGCTATATCGGGTAAATTACATTTTAGGTAGCTTTTATTGAACTTTACAAATTGTTCTTTATTTTTAAAAAATGTTAAATATGTCGAAAACCTTACATTTTAGTCATATGCATCTTTATTGAAACTCGCCTTTGTTTTTTACCTAGAATTCGAAAATCACATAATATATAGGATGTTCCATTACAAAAAACACAACTTTGATTTGTAACTTTTTTTGGGGACACCCTATAGAACTAGAACCTTCTATATTTTTAAAAAATGGTCTAAATTAACATACATATGCTCACAAAATTTAATTTCAATACAAATTGTCGTTCTCCTTGGAGCCTCCGCGTATGAGAGGAGTTCATGTGGTTGTTTTAATAATATACCTATCTCTATTATCTTTCCAGACGAATCCCATATAATAGAAGAATTTGACTACCTCTCTAGAAATGAATGGGGTTCTAACACGACAGCATTCAGGAAATTACCCCGGTTAAGGAGACCGGTGCCCAAAGTGTTTCTGGTCGAAATGAACACTGAATGCGACAATAACATTTGTACCGGCTTTAAGGAATTTGAAGAAAACGGCAAGAAAAAAATTAAGCTGGACGAAGGAATAATGTACAATTTTTATCAAGACCAAAGTGGTAAAATTTTTGAAGGGAGGGGATGGAACTATCAGTCGGTTTGTCAAGAAAGCAATAACTGTAAAGGGACTGTAACCATAGCTCTCTTAGGTAAGAAAGATATAAAATAATTTTTAAGTACTCTTTGAAAGTGTAGAAAAATTTATAATTTTCTTGACATTTTCCGGGAAATGTTTAAAAACTTTTTGGTGCCACTTGTTTATTCACCTGATGCGTCGAATAACTTGAACTCAGGAAACCGAGTTCTTTCAAAACCTGAAATAAAAAATGCAGGTCCGTATTTAAAAAAATTAAGTTTGCCTCTGAATCTCACAAATTATCAACTAATTTGAAAATCTAAAAATACTAACAGATAGACCTATTAAAGTGGCTATAAGAATGTGCAATTAGTTTTTTGATTATCTAAAAAGAAATGACAGGAAAAAATAAGATTGATTTTCAAAAAAATCCGTTTTTTATTAAAAGAACTCAGCAATCATTGAAATTTTTGAAACTATTTTGATGGCATCTTGGTGAACATCCCGAAGCGCAACTTTGTCCCAATTTAACCATATTCGTATCTATTACGGTTTCCGAGATACCAATGTTCGTATCTCGAATTTGTAGCATCCTGTATAAGATACATCGTTTATAAGATACCGAGTTTTATCTAAAAAATAAAACTTTTTTTCAGATGGTGTTAGTTCCCCACCTTCCCCTTTACGCATCACGAAATTGAAAGCCTTTTTGAATTTTTCTATATCCAGTGGAGACCTAAAGATGTGCTTTCAAGTCATAGTTAAGCATACAAACAACAGATACTACGATGATATAGCGATTGCTTTGGACGAGATGGTTAAGAAAGACGGAGAATGCAAATATAACAAATGACACGAATCCGGATAATATATAATGTTAATTTTATGCTTTCTATATACTTTCAAATATACACATATAATAAATATTTTGTTAACAACATAAATATAGACACAAAATGACATACATATGCAGGGGCGTAGATAGGTGTATGCTATGGGGGTGGTACTATGATTAAGTCGCAAAAAAAATCACCGTCGGAATTTTTTTGTCGAATTAAAACGACGGCGATTTTTTTGTCTTCAAAAAGATATAAAAACATAACACAAAAATTAAAATATAGATTTGTAAATAACATACACAAAAATGAAACAACGACGTTTATTAGTTAATTTTCTATAAACTATAAATAAAAAAATCTAAACTATCAAAAAAACTATAAAACTATAAATAAAACTACAAAACAAAATCAAGTTTTCTAGTACGCTGTTTGGAAAACCTATCAATAACAGCATCAACATTTATTTCAATATCTTTATGGATATTGATTAGAGTTAACCCCACTAATCTGTCCTGGCCAATAAGAACACTTTGTGTGCTTTTAATTAGGTCGAACATATTATAAACGATAAATCAACATAATTAAAAGCATACAAAGTGTTCTTATATGTCGGATATTAATTAAAAAAAATCTTTTCATAGTCGACTATTTCAATTCTCGTATCTCGTCAAGCGTCAGGGGGGGTACTGTCCCCCAGTACCCCCCCCCTCTTATCTACGCCCTTGTACATATGACAAGATTGACAAGGTATAAAAAAAATTTAAACTTATTGAAAAATAAGCACCATGAAATCAATCAAGTAGTCATCTGTATAACCATAAGTACAGCTTGTTTCATGTTAATTGGTTATCTCTAGACTTAGTGTGGGATTACATGCATCTGTATGCGTTGTTCGTCGTTGATTTTATGCAATTTTATTGGTTTATTTCAAAAATGACAGCTCAAACTTAAATATGATTGGAATTTGAACGATAGACAACATTACAAATGTATAAGTAATAAGTACCGTATAATCGAAAAAAAACGGCGTCCAGTTGGCTGGGAAAGGACGATCGATGACATTTCCCATATCAATTTACATATAAAAGGACAGTGATCTTCATTTCATAGCCATCGCTGACGTCGTTTTTATTCGATCATACGATATAAACCTACAATTAGCCCGTTATCTGCTGCTCATTCACTGGTATTCACTGTAGGGTCCTGGTATATTTATTAAAAAAATATATAGTCGGTCCAGTAAAAGAATATATAACCATAACAGTTATTTTCTGTCTTCTTTTTAATAATTTCAATTTAATTCCATTTTGAATTAAAAAGACTGGCAATAGCTTTGTGCATTTTTTTATATATCGTTTCTGAAAGAAATCATATATTCTCTCGCTGGACAAACTATAGAAGGTATCGCAGTGTGGTAGGACCTTTATAATTTGATAGTAGTGAATAGAAAAAATCACATTTCAAAATAGTTACCAGCAATACCAGAATATTGTATGAGCTAGGCTTCTGTTTTACCTGATTAATAAACGATCTCATATTATTTTATACTTATTCTGTCTCAGATATTGACCAGACATTAGCCGAAAATGACATAGTAATATTTATAATTCAGACCCATATGTATTTTATAATTCTGCGTTTCTATATTCTCATATTTTTGTTTGCCTATTTATTTTTTTAATTTTAAGTATTATAACATTTTTTAAAAACAAAAAAGAAATTGAAGTAGAATTGCATCATAAAGCACTCCCCCTCTGTTTATGTCGTCTATAATCTGTCCAACGACTAATGGAAGATTTCGGCTCTTTTAAATGTATTGATTTCGACAGACGACGTTCAAAAATGAGAGAAAATACAATATACCTGTGAATTAAAATAACAGACACTGTAAATGAGATATTTTCCCGTTGGACATATTTTAGTTAACGTAACAACATCGAAATTAGTTATATGTTTCATAAAAATATTTTATAAATATTCCAAATACAAATAGTTTTTGAGAAAAAAAATAAATTAATTACAATACTACTACTGCATTTTTGTTGTTTAATTTTATTTCCATTGCATTTATATATAATTTAAAATAAATTGATGTCAATCCAAATACATTTGTTTTTACCTTACCATTTTTATTTTAATGAAGCTTTCTTAAAAAATTATTATTTTTATTAATTAGTGTATAAATAATACAGTGTATACATAGTATATTTTCGACAGATCACATCCAAAATATGTCAAAGCAATAAACAATACAGGGTCAGGATATGTATGGGAAGTCAAGGATATGTATGGGAACGGTCGATTCTTAGGTAAAATATACGAGGTACCGCAAAAAGTTAAATATAAAAGTTATAGGGTTTTTAAATATCTATTAGCGAATAATAAATTTAAATATACAGGGTTGGTCATAAAGTCGTAGCACATCAATGTGGTACAACTTTTATGTCCGTCCCTGTATACTCAAATTTACTACTAGCTAATAGACATTTAAAAACCCTATAACTTTTGTGTTTAACTTTTTGCGGTACCTGGTATATTTTACCGTTATTAATCGTACATACACCATACATATCAGCGACCCTGTAGTTTTCAGTTAAAATGACAGAAAGCTTAGTGCAATGTGTTATGGTCACACGAATAATGAATTATAACGATTTATTCCGATTTATTAGTGTGAAATGTCGAAATGTGAAAATCACTCTGTATTGTATAAGCTTAATTTTTTTATTAAAAAAAACAATTGCGAAAAGAGTGTAATAGGATGGTGAAAATTAGTAATGAAAAAAAACACTGGTTTGATCTAAAAAGTTTTATTATATTATGAGAAATTTACATATAACTTAAAAAATATTATTAAAAATATTTATATGGTATGTATAAAAATAATACCTAATAATGATTTGATCACAAATAAAATAAAATATAATATCTTCCCATTTTATGGCAACTAAAATAAATAACTTTTATGCTTACAAATAATACATTTGGAACTAATAATAATGGAATACAATAAAGTCTGTCCAACGAGTCGGGGAATATTTAGACAAGACGAAATCCAAAAAAAATGACAAAAAACACAATTTATCTGTGAATTAAAACGACAGAAATAACTGTCACTGTTATGTATCCTCTCGTTGGGCAGACTTTGATAAAAAAATCACTAAAATAAAGCTTATGTCTTTCTTATACTTCTAGGCCTTTGCACAAACCGGCATAATGATCAGGTACTTCCAAAAAATACTTGTGCATTGCTTCAATGAATCTCTTTTGATACTCTTCTGGCGATACTATGGTCGGTAGTTTCCCTTGACCACCCAAGATGCCCGTCCTTTTCACGATTGTTTCCAACCTTTTGTCCCATGTAAAAGTCCTTATATAATCTATGGAAAAAAAATTATTATACCAGGTGTCCCAATATTCTGTGGACATAGAAAGACTACGTATTTTTGGAACTAAATTAAGTTCACTGGACACAAATTACTTTTATACAAAAGTACTTCGTTTATCCGTTAGAGGGCATCAAACTTTAAAAGAAATAAACATATTTTTTAAGATATTTTAAGAACTGATATTCCGATTTGATTATTATTAGGAGTATACTCCTAATTTTAGTAGATTTTGACAGACGATGACAGAAGAAAAGCAGATGACGTCCCATACCTACTAATCTATTTATTTTACTAAAAAAGTTTCTAATATTTTTTAAGTTGACTATGGATGGGTTTAAATATAAATCCGTCATGCGTCGTCTCTTGTTATTTTTAAACCAGTTTCATTGGTTTATTTCAAAAATGACAGATCATATTTCAATTTTATTGGTTTGACGGAAAGATAAACGACAAACGGACGCCGATACGTATGAACTCGCCCTTAGATTTTTGAGACTTGTCAAAGTCTTGCCAAACTATAGGTTATAATTTTGTGTCAAACTTATGTCAAATATCTGCGTTTTGGAAGATGATGCATTCTGATTCGTGTTATTACGTGTCTTTTGAAGTCAAGTGGAGGAAAAATCGAGGGAAAATTAACTGTAGACCCAGAGCACAGTTTATAATTAATACTTGCTGCCCAGGCAGAAAGTCTTATATACACAAGTAAAGTTACCAATAATAAAGTTTTTATAGCATCTCGTCGTAGATAAGCGCATCTCGTATATGCTACAAGGATCGTACTAAACATATACTAGTAGCTGTAAAATATCGACATAACACGATAGGTAAATAATGGATTTTAGTACTGCAGAAAAATAATGTCAACAGGCACTGGTTTAAAAAAATTAAGATTAAAGTTAATTAATCAAACTTTAAGGTATAAAATTTGGTATAGGTAAGTGGTTATTATTAATAAAATAGTTTGTTTTATTTATGTTGTTTTATTTATTCCTGTGGAAATATTACAAATTTATATTTGTACATAAGTTATATTGATAAATATAATAATAAATGCGGGAAGTTTCTTGAAGCTTGAAAGTAAGAAATAGTTCTTTTTTTATATTTTGGTAAGCGGTGTTTTGTTCTTGTTTGTTTTGTATTAACACATACCGTTTTTTTAATAAAATAACTCGATTACATTTTTTCAGTTTTATACAGTTTTTTTTCGCAATATTTTGAAATAATTACTTATCAGTCAAATTTTAAATATATTAATTTCCTGCTATGCGTTCCAGTTGTACCAACTTATTTCTTTGTAAAATAAAATAAACCATGTACTTTGAAATTAAAATGACAGACATACATATCTATCACTGTCAAGGATCTTGTCGTTGGACAGACTATACCTATGTTTTGCTTACCGCTTTAACATCTGACCCCACAAAAATAAAAAAAAATGTATGGAAAGAGTGAAAACTACCCCCACTCCTACATAAATTTTAGTAGAAATATTTTCCATCTCCACCAATGACTAATTTTTTTTTCATAAATTGGTGGTTCTAGTATTTACTATATTTCTGTCCCTTGTAAAAAAAACGTCACCGCGCATACTTTTTGATATGCGCTAATAATCTAGTTGGCAAAAATATGTAATGTTATGTTATAAAGGGTGTCCCAGAAATAAGTGCAAGTATTTTAACTGGTAAGTATATACCAGTTATACTGGGTAGTATAATTCAACCCCAGAAACACGCCTATGAGGTTTTTTCACGAAAAAAAAAACAAATTTAAATTTACAAGAAAGAAAATCCAGAAAAGATCCAGCGGTTACAGGTTCTCAAAATTTTAGCAAAAAATATTTGTTTTTGTCAATTTTCAAATTAAAATAACTCCGTTATTTTGGACTTATTTGAAAAACGATATAGAGAAAATATGTTTCTTTTATCGAGGGGTGGTAGATCCCTTAAAATACTTATACTTATTTCTGGGACACCCTGTATAGTATCATAAATGATATTTGACAATAAAGCTTCATAAATTTTAAATTAATTAACGTTCAGGCTTATTTTTGATTGATGCCCTCTATTGGACAAACAAAACACTTTTGTATAGAGGTAAACTCTCTGTATATTTTGTAGGTCTGCTTTGGAAAAAAAATCAGATTTTTTTTTCTCAAAAACTATGCGACGGCGGCGGCGGCTTGTGTAGTAAATATTAGAAGGAAAACTTTACGAAAAAAAAACAGTGGTCAGTGAAGTTATATAAAGGAAAATATTTCTACTAAAATTCATGTAGGGGTGGGGGTAGTTTTCACTCTTCCCGTATGTTTTCTCGATATTTGTGAAAGTTAAATGTTAAAGCACTTAGCAAAATACAGGTACCCCAAATCTCATACAAATCGGAATAACGGTTCTTAAAATATCACGAAAATGTGTTTATTTTTTAAAGTTTGATGCCCTCTGACGGCCAAACAAAGCACTTAGTACTTTTGTATAGAGGCAAAATGTGTCCAATGAACTTATTTTGATTCTAAAAAAAATAGTAGTTCTATATCCGCGGCATATTGGGACACCCAGTATATCTTAAAAAATTAAAGAAATAACCCAAAATAATAAACTATAAACTTCTGCAAGTGACACAATTTAACGTATTGATGCAAGAAAAAGTCAACTCCAAAAAGTACAGAGTGTCTCATTTTTTTTGGTAATTGAAAGTTATCTCGCGAAATTGATCCCTTGGAACCCTCCTTAGATTAAAAAAGTTGCAGTACAATTTAAACACCTATTTTTACTCCATTTGTAGGTTAAATTTACCTATTATTCCAAGCACTAACTCTTTATTTTTAGTATCCAGACCTACTAACAATGAATAATCCATAACAGACTGAGTGGACAGAAATTCAGTATCGTTCTGTATAGCAGCCAATAAGACTTCTTTGGAATGTGGTAAAACATACAGTGGCGAGTCGCAAGTCACTAATAAAAGAAAATTGGTTAATATTAAAAAAAACATAAAAAATAATAGAAAAGATCACTTTTTAAAAGGTTTTCATCCAAAAGAACTATCTCTCCTTCCTGGGTCTCTGGAACAACGAGCCTGTTCCTCATCGAGCCTTTCAAATCGAATTTTTGAGACACTTCCCTGTTATAGAAAAGATTTTCCATGACCAAGACGTGACTACGGTAAGTTACATTGGAGTTGTTCTTGTATATAATCTGGTAAATGCCCAGAATTTTCCCTAATAAAGTAGGTTGAGCTGTAGTTGAGCATTTCTGCATGTAAACGAAATAGTTAGAGGCTGATTCGAGGAATAGTTGAATCTCCGTTTTCGACATGTCCTTTAAGATGAATCGATCATCTGAAAGAGATATAGGCAAACTACTAAATAAAACAATGACTATATCTGTTCTATGTATCACTGATTTTTTTATTAAGAACACATTAATTAATTAATTAATATTAATTACCCATGGTTTTGGAGAAATTTGAACCAGATTTTCCTCCTCTGGCTTTCCAGTGAACAGACCTGGACAGAGACCGGATGTAGGTTTCTTCTCCTGTTGGAAAAACCACAGATCTAAGAGCAGCAAATTTCTCCGCCAAATAAATTCGACAGAAAAAATTGCAAGTACTGTCCTGGAACTGGACTTCCACATGTGACTGTTTACTTTTCTTCGCGTCATCAGGTTTGTCTTGTGTATTTGATTGTTCTGGTTCACTAAATAAAAGAATCTATGTAAGTGTAGTGTGTACAGCAAATAGAATATATCGTCCTATTGCTGCCAAAAGTCACTAACTTACTTTTTATTACTTCCATGAAAAACTAAAGATTAATTGCATTGCATAAAGTTGTTGTTAGAGACTATTCGATATTCTCACAACTATCCACTTAGGAATGCGGAGCACGATATTTATCTGCCAACCCCGAGCTCAGAACTAGTTAAAGTCTCAATACTGTACAATGCCAAGAAAATGTACAATCATTTGCCTTTGAATATCAAGTCACTTTCATTCTTTCTCGCATTTCGCAAAGCTCTGAAATCATACTTACTGGAGAGAGCCCTATATGCGGTAAACGACTTTTTTGTTGATGTTTAATCATAAACAATTTTGAATTTTAAAATTTTGATCATCTCACATACTGGTTAAAGGTCTAGTATTTAATATTTAATATTTTACAACTCTTGATTTTATGATATATAACATGATTTTATCCATTTTCAATTTTCCTTTTGTAAAATTTTCTTGATACGCCTGTGTTCTGCAATGTCCATCTATGTTTTATTTGTAATTTTAATGACGTAAATTTTTTTGAATTGATTTGTATAGTATGACATTTTTTTATTATTTGTATATTTGTTTTTGTGCTTTTTTGTTTTGTGAATGCTTTGTCAATGAAGCTGTTTCGGCTTTTTGTACAATAAAGCTTTGTTTTTTATTAAAATACAGCATAAATAGTCAGAAATCGTAGTTAATGACTTTTTCAATCGATTTTCAGGTTATTCGGAAAAATGTTAGTTAATGACTTTTGGCAGCAATAGGACGATATGACAGTTTACAGTTATATTGTTGTAAGTCAATGTATCTCAAAAGTAGATAAACTGGAAAAATATTACCTATAACTAAAAAAATATTAACCTTTAACTACTAACTTGCTGAAATGGAAAATAACAGCTAACGGACCATCTGGCATGTCGCTGTATTTTTTTATGTGGAAGACAGTATAAACAAAAACAACTACTTTTATAAAGAACATTTATTTAAAAATTATTTAAAGGATAAGAAAAATACCGATATATACATTAAAATAAACACATATCATACAATATATCGGGTACATCTCAAAAGTGGCTCACCTCTATAATTTTCTTATTTTTCCAGATAAAAAAAAGATTTGGTATTTTAGTATAGGACATGAATTAGGATTGATTGACGTATTCAGTTGTTTTTGACCATTTCCTGTTTCACCGGAAATAACTACTTTTGAGATGAGATTTTTAGAATGAGATATAATACCGTATTATCGAAAAAAAACGGCGTCCAGTTGGCTTGGAAATGACGATCGATGACATTTCCCATATAATTTTACATATAAAATGACAGCGATCTTCATTTCATAGCCATCGTTGACGCCGTTTTTATTCGATCATACGGTATATAAACTATTGACATTTTCGCTTAAAAAAATCGCATTTTAAATTTTAATCTAGAGTGCCATGGCTGTGTTAAAAACACTAATTTTTAATCAAGGGGCCTTGGAAAAATAGATTTGATGGTCTAATGATTTTTGTGTCTTGTTCTGGCCAGTTAAAAGATGCTCAAATCCTATTTTTAATCATATCTCATTTTTTTTCAAATGGGTGGTTCATTAGCATCTTTAGAAAAAGCATCTTTTCGAATAATTTGATACCACACACTAGGTATTTCGAGTCAAATTGTTGTTATGAACCGCATGCTACAATTTCAAATAGACCATATGCGGAAATGTCAAAAGTTAACATATGATATGTCATTCTATTCAGAGTGTCATTTTCTATCGAATAAAGTAAAACAATTCAGAGAGTATCATTTAAAAATCAAAAGTTGTAGTCATTTTCGGTGACACGGGAAGTGATAAAAAACAATTGAATACGCCAATCAATCCTAATTTATGTCATATACTAACATACCAAATCTCGTTTTTTTTATCTGAAAAAAAATAAAAAAGTTATAGAATGAGTTACTTTTGAGACGCACCCGGTATATAACGCACGTTAGTGGCTAAAGGTTAATTTTAACACTATACTTACACTATTTCGCTGACACTAGACGATACCGAAGACCCCAAATCGGTTTTAGAATCTTTAGTTCGTAAAAATCCTAACAGTCCGCTACCTTTTTCACCTCCATCGTTTTTCTCTTTATCTCCTGCAACATTTTTTCGTTTGGCGATTGGACTTGGCGTCTGCTCATTTGCAATAGATTTTTTTGATGTCAGTTCCTCCAAGGACTTCTTATAATCAATACTGTTCAAAGCATAAGCAATTATGGAAGATACTTCATTTTCGTATACTATAACAGGTCCATATTGTCCTATAGGTAACAAATAGTGTTCTTGAGGTGAAAATGGGGCCTAGAATGCAACAAACTTTGTTATTCTGGTTATATACAGAGTGTTTCAAAAAACATGTGCCATTTCTCGTGGGGAAATTCCTCACGTAAAAATAAGATTTATTTCTCATATCAACATAGGTTCGATTCTGCTTTGTTTCGTAGCTACAGGGTGTTCAAATCTTAATATTTTTCTGATTTATTATAATTTTCTTCCAAGTACTTTTAGCGTTTCGAATGAAATTTTGATAGTAAAAGTAACTATAAGTGCGACATATTTTGAAGCTAAAAAAGTGTCGACATATTCACCAGAGACGTGCACATGGGTTATCACTGGAATATTTTTCTAAAAAAAGCATGTACGCCATTGACTTCTTTTTCTCTTGTTAGCAAAATAGTGTAAGCAGTTTAATGCCGATTAAAAGTTGTCTCTTGGTATTTTGTCGATTTCGGCCTCCTTGATGGGATAAACGCAATTTTATTAATTTGCCTTGATCCAAGTCTAATAGCAACTTTTAAAAAATTTTAATATAATTAACTTACGAAAGTTTTAAATAAGTACTCTTTGATTCCTCATCAAAAAATATGAAAAAAAGTTCCTATAAAAAAGGATATGGAAATGCATAGTTTTAGAGTTACAGGATGTTAATTTGATTTTGGATGAAAAAACTTTTTAAAATTAGGTTTTTTGTCATTATCTTAAATATCATTATTTTTTATTTGAAATTGCTGTATGTTGGATTAATAATAATATTTAATAATAAATCAGGTAAAATATATAATTTATTAATTTTGTTTTTATTTTAATTTTATTTATTGTGATTAATACAATTGCGTTTATCTTATCAAGAAGGCCGAATTGGACAAAATATCAAGAGATAACTTTTAATTGGCATTAAACGGCCTACATAATTTTAATATGAAAAGAAAAAAAAGTCAGTGGCGCACATGTTTTTTTCTTGAAAAATATTCCAGTGATAACCCATATGCACGTCCCTGATAAACTTATGGACACGTTTTTAGCATTAAAATATGTAACACTTATAGTAACTTTTACCCTCAAAATTTCATTCAAATCACTAAAAGTACTTGGAAGAAAATTATAATAAATCGAAAGATTACTAAGACTTTAACACCCTGCAGCTACGAAACAAAGCAGAATCGGACCTATGTTGATATGAAAAATAAGTCGTGAGGAATCTCCCCAATACGTGAGGAATCTCCCCACGAGAGATGGCACATGTTTTTTGAAACACCCTGTATATCATAATATAACTATAACTTTTGAAACATATAAATATTGTATCATAAAATGCCATTATAAATGAGGGATATATATTTTAATTAGTAAGAAAGCGAAGATTAGATAAGATTAGCGAAGAAGAAATACAAATATATAAGGTAAACGATGAAATATTAGTTGAGGCAGAGAATAGGTACATTAAAGAAATGCTAACTTCATGTTAAAAAATGGAAACAGACGCCACCTGGTGTCGCCTGGCAGTACTAGCTAAATTGAGGGGAATTGAAAGGGCGGGGCTTAAAAGAGGGGAAATTTTTAAAAAAATATTTTTATAAGTATCACTGACTTACTGTTTAAAGTTAATAAACATATTTTTTATTACTTTAATATAATTTAATGTATTAAAAAATATGTCTATTAACTTTACACAGCAAATCAATGATATTATTAAAAACTTATTATTTTCAGAGAAAATTCATAGTAAATAAATTACACATTAGTAAACAATATCATTTATTTTTTAGAGCTGCGATTTATATTACAATAATATTGAAATATATATATATTTTTTTAACAATGAAAAAGAATATCCCGGAATCTGAAAAAGAAAGATGATCAATTAATGACTTAAATTAGTTCAAAATACATTTTGCAAATAACTAGTGAATTGGAAAGATAAACATACTATTAAAAAGACATTTTAGTAGTATGTTATCATCTATTTACTGATAATACATAAGTATATAATAGGGAAATAACATGCATAAGGCACTATGATAACTACCTGTATCATGATAACACACTAATATCACAAAAAATATATGCTAATTTAAATTCCTTTAATGAAACACTATCTAGCCTCAATGCATGCCATTCCAAAGGCAAAAAAAACTGTTATACCAAATAAATATAAGCTGAATAAAACATAAACCAAGCCAACGTGCATAAACAACCAAAAAATGCATCAAAAAATACTTTTATCAGATCATACCCTTTGATATATTATGTATTTTATATATCGCACATCCCGTTCAAAAGTTTACTAACTCAAAATAGAGAATATAGAGAACATTGTCAGGAGAAGTAAAAGAAAATTTAAGTTAAGGCAATATGCTCCCTTTTGCATATTAATGGCCAAATAATATAATGTTGATTTAATAAAATTTTACTGGCATCCTTCTGAGGTATAAATCAGATTAAAAGGACATTGTTTTTGTAATAATTGTTTGTTTTGTAAACATTTTTTGAAGACAATACAGTTTTGAACGGGCTGTGCGATATAAACAAGGATCTTGCTATTATTTGAGGTTAGAAAGTATTTAAATAATATAAAACATTATCAAAATCATTTTTCATCATAAATTAAAGAGGTACTTACGTGTTTTGATATTATTATCAGGAAATAATACGTTTAGTTAAACAGGTACGCTGCCAGGCAAGTTCTATCGGCGGGTCTTTGCAAGAGTTGAAATCTAAAAATACAAAAATACGTTTACATCTTAGTTGTATTTACGAATAAAGTATTTGTGTGTAATTTCTGACTTACCAGTTAACTGAATAATCGCATTAAATACATCCAAATGGTAATTTAATATTGTAAAAAAGCAAAATTGTTTTAAATCACTTGCCAGGACAGCCCGGCCAGCTTCTTTGTTGGCAAAATGGCCGCGGTATCATGATTTATGCAATGTGAGTGACAAAGAAAGCCAATGCCTGGCAGATGTTGCTTTCTTTGTCGTTGTTCCTGGCACGTTTAAATTTGACTGTTGCCTGTTTTCCCATACAAGTGACACCCCCGTGAGTTGAGGTATTAGTACTGTAGCAAAATATCTAACTGCTAATATATTAGTGGTCCAACCAGGGTTATGTTTTAAACATTTGATTAAAACTGTTTGGTATTTGGGTGGTTTTTTCTATAAAAATCAAGAACTCTTTCTTTTGACTATTTAATAAAAAACTATAATACTTATTCATTATAATAGAAAAAAAACACCTACGGTAATCGCAAAACATTTTCCGATGCGCGTCATCAATCATATCGAAATTGACACTAAAACCTATAAACCTGTAACTAAATAAAATTTTGACAAAAATGTTTAAATTTGTTGCATAATTTAAGATACCGAACAGCTCTTCATTTTACTTCATATAGCAAATGATTGTAACAGATATTTTATTTAGATTAAAGATGCAAAAATTAGCCATGTTGGTCACATTGCGCCGCGATCAGCAACGTTGTCGTTTATTATTTGACAAGTATCATAATGTCAGTCATTATTTTGTATAATATTACGTCGATCGTGTTGTTGTTAAATATTTGAGAGTAATTCTCGTTTTTTGCCGATTTTTTTGACTTTACAGTGAAGATTTATCAAAAAATATAACGATAAAGGATAAAATCTACTTGCCTGAACTAGGTTAAATGTCCCCGATGACGGTAAAAACTTGTCAAAAATAGTTTTTACCGTTTTTTCTGACTTTTTAGACAAATCTTTTTTACTATCAGTACTTTCTTCGATGTGAGTCGCAATTGAAGCATCAGAAAGACGTCTCGGATCACAATTTTCTAATGTACTATCTATAAATTATTTTTATCAACTTATCAACAATTTCATCACCAATTAATATGTTAAAATACCTTTTTCATGTTCATTCGAAGTATTTCCGAATGTTTTAGATTCGGTCAGTTCTCCAACAGGGCTGTCAATTTCTGATACCGCATGTTTCTCTTTTTTCTTGTCTTGTCTTAGAGCTTCAGTCAAATATGAGTTCCATGTTTCTGTCACTTCCATTAAATATATTTTCAATCTTGTAACATTGTCCTATACAAAAAAACATGGATAGATAGATAAAATGGCGCTTGCCTAATTAGAAATAAGTTATTTCTAACCTGTATTTTCCAGTAAGATTGACACAAAACTTTGGTATCGAAATCTTTATTTTCGACCGTAGGTGAAGTGAGTTTCAGCTGTACTTCTTCAACTTTTTGTTTAAATTGCGCTTGCTCTTTCGAAAGGAGTTGCTTTATATTTCCTACGCCTTCCAAATCCTCTGTAGTTATAGATGAAACTTTATCTTGAATAAGGTTCAATATTTCGTGTCCTTTTTGAGCGTATTTTTTTGTATCGTCAATCAAAACTTGATGAAGATTCGCTGTATCATATGTTAATTGTACTAGTGAGGATGGTAGTGAAATTTCCCAAATATTTATAGAAGAATACCTTAAAAATCAATAGTTTAAAAAAAACTAATTTTGTAAATTTGTGAAGAGTTTATGTAAGTAAAGGTTTATGAAACTTTACTTACTTAAATGAAGCGACATAGTTCTTGTAGCCGAAATATTGAAAATGATCATGATGTAAACTGTGTTTGCATGAATTTTGCCCTCTTCTGCTAAAAATTTCACCATGAAATCTAGAAAAAAAACGTTATATTTAGAGCAGCATGTAAACTCAACTCAATTAAGTAACAAAATATTTAGTTAATTATTTGGATAATTTATATTTAAATCTTTTAAATGCGCCTTAAACGCATTTACGTATTAAAACCTAGTTATAAAGCATTATTAAAACCTAGTTGTGGTTAATGACAATTTAAAATTATTTATCTATAAGTTCACAACAGAGCACTCTTGTGAGAAACTCTCGTAATTTATACTATATGTATACAATTGTCTATATGTATACTAATGGTATATTGAAAAATCGGATTATACTTGAAATTGTCTAAACAAAATAAATAACGATGACGTCACGTTGAAGAGAATCGTTGCACATATTATAATTATTGTTAAGAAAAATCAAAACTATGCAACATAAACCTACCTGAGTTCCAGATATTTTGCAAAAGAATATGACCAAGTATCAGAAGACATTGGGACTACCGGCGATACGCTTTGACACTTGGTACACCAACTCCACATTACAATACCTTCTTCCGTAAACTCATTTTCAAAGTTGTTCAAAGAAATTGTAACACATCCTAAAATGTTTTCCAATACGAAATAAAATTATCGATAAATTAAAAAATAAAATATACTCGCATTAGTGACATTACGAAAAGGAACAAAAGAACTGTAGAAAACACGAAATCCGTTTATAATACATATAAGTAATATTGATTGAATTGGGAAATTATTTTTGATAAAAATTTCAAGTAGATCAAAATCAAGACAAAGATTAATGAATATAAATTATATAATCTTACTAGAATATTAAGAATTTATTCTTGTTCGTTTGCTATTTATTAATGTTTTTCTTTATAATAACACTGATATAATTTGTCGTCAAATAATAAGTTCCTACCTAAATTATGAACAAATCGGCGGATGTGCTTAACCATAGGCGTAACACAAGTTTTTGACGGACAGGCATAGGTAGCGCGGAAGCAATATCGCTCTAAAAAGCATCCTATGGGAATATCATTTCGTCCATAAAAATCCATATACACCACCCTAAAACACAACAGATCTTTAGTATCAACGGTTTTATCTTCAACTGAGGTAACCCGGTATACAGATAGCACAAGAACGTCTGAAGGTGCAGAACCTGGAATAGTAGGGCTAAAACCAGAAATGGCTTTCTCCATAAGCCTATCCATGGATCTTACAATTTTCCAAGCAGAAATAACCAATCCATTATTGTGTAGAAGAAATAATAAGGCAGCAAAGAACAAACCGTTCAGTTGCCATCTTCACAGACAGCCAAGCAGCGTTAAAGGCACTCTCGGTTCTACAAAGGTCTATTCTAGACTAGTGTAGGATCGTGTACGTACTCTAAATATATCACTCATATACCCACTCATAAAATCAACGAAAAGACAGATAAAATAGCCAAATATAGCTCATCAATGCCAAATGCCAATCATCAAGTTATTAAACTCTTTGAAAAGGATAGGACTGGAAAATGTAACCTAGAAATCAGAAGAGAACCACAACAGATCTGAAAAGATCGCAGTGGAATTGGCCGATAACCATCTCAAAAACCTAATCTGTAGGGTACAGGAATAAAACAAAGGATGTACATTTTTGTCAAAATCGAGATTAATTATTCTCAATCTGTAGATAATTCCTTTTACTATTACTGTATAAAATATCACCCTTGATATAACTAGAAGTGTCCGCAGAATTTAACGCCGAAATATTGCAACACTCGAATAAACCCATGATAACTCACAATTAAGTTTTTGTGACATTCCTTGTTTTATCCCTGTACCTTTTATCTAACTAAATAATATCTTATAAATCACTGTGCAAACAAAATATAAATTTATGTTAAATATATTAAGTAAGAATAGTCGTTTAATTCACAAACGTAACTTAAAATTAATAAAATCGGAACGCACTCAATTACCATTTCGGAACGCACTCGAAATTTTTAAACAATATGACCTAAGGAATATTAGATAATACTAGAAGAAGTATCGTTAAACAACGGTTGTACAAACTATTTTTAAATAAATATAACGAATGCAAAGTTTTTGTATTAAAATACTATTCCTGCTTATTTTATTTGGATCTTAAATATTAAATATTAAAAATAAACTCTTATTAAATTTACCATGGATTGACGCAGAAGGCTGGAGCGTTGCTAGATTCGTGGCTAAAACTACAGAACAACACTGCCAATCTTTGATGATTTACTGGATCCAGGACGTCCTTTTTTGTCTCGCAGTTATCTTTACTAAGTGATTTTTCGTCGTTCGTTTCTATGACATCTAGGATTTCTTTTTTGCGGTACTGACCGCCAGAGGCTCGGAAATGAGCCAACAAATTTTGTATATCGTTGCAATTTACGTTGGTTATTTGAACAGTTTGAAAAGGATGCAAAGGTGAGACCTGATGAAATAAAAAATAATAAGATGTTAAATTATACTTTTTTTATGAATAAGTTAGTTTTTAATAATATCTATTTATATCAAATGTAATCCAAGTTTCATTTTTGAAAGACATTATTAGAAAGTAATACTTTTTTAATTGTGCCAGACTTTTTCATTTTAAAACCTCGGACCGGTTGGCTCGACTAAGAGCTATCGGCAGGTTATAGTATACATATACATACTCCATCGGTAAGCGAAGTCTTGGGTCGGTGTTTACATGTCTAGGAATGCATTGTTATGGCAATTTAGGAAATTAGGAAAATACTTGCTCTTCTTTCTTTATTCATTACTTCTTATTGTACTGAGCGCTGAGCGTATTGACCGTACTCTTCGTACGCATGAAAATCGGCACGCAAAGCCAGCAATGCCGACCCAGTAAAAATAAATGCCATCATCGCGCATCGGACCGGTAGACGTGATTTCGAGCACTGCTTCGGACCGGTCGACTCGTCGCCGCCGGATGGTGTACAAAAACCTGCCGATAGCTATATTAGTCAAGTCGATCGGCCCGAGTCGATTCAGGGCGCGTCCTCCTTAAGACAGTCAAAAATGACAAGTAAAAAGTTAGGCGTAGACAGGGTTTAAAACCCAAAATAAAAAAATGGTAGTTGACAATTCATTTTTGAGTCAACAAGACATTTTTCTAGGCCATTTGCCTTGCTTTTATACTCAGGAATATTAATTATGTTAAACATACTTACATTTTTGTGATTGTTCTCGGTCTCTAGATTCTTCTCCGCCTCAAAAGTTTTTCTCTTGTTTTTAACGTTCCCCTCGAACTGTTCGCTGTAATACAAATCCTTGTAGAAAAACCGTCGCAACTTAGTCTTCTTTCCAGAATCAGTCTCCAAATAAGGAATAGGAAACATAACATACGGGGAAATACACAAGATCGTGTCGTCCAAATGCTTTTTAAAATTATTAGAAAACGGTAACTCGGCTACCGATAGAGTTTCGTTTGAATCTACCACAAAATCAGTTTTATTTAAGTCAAAGGAGGATTGTAAAGGATCGGTAAAATCACTGACGGACTCGCCAGTGATTTTCTGAGTATTGTTTTCGGACGGTTTAGTTTTCTTTTCGGGTATTTGTTCTTTCTTTGTTTCGGATTTTTGAGTGTCTTCATCAATTTGATCTTCTATAGACATCTAAAAACCAACCAAGTTATGTCTAAAAATTATGTAGGCTATAGGCAGAATCATATTGTATGATGTGAAATATGAAAATGGTAATAAAACTGTCATACGGTTTATTTCGATCATTTTTCATATTTTCACCCTCATTTATATTATACAAGATGTCAAATATTGAAACAAAGAAAAATCTAATTTATTTTATATTATGATTAGAGAGAAGAGAATAGAAGCCCTAGCAAAACAAGGTATGGACAGGCCTTATATAGAAATTCTCGCCAATATATACAAAGAAGCCAAAGCTAGAGTAATGATATATAAAACCTCAAAGCTGTTTACAGCAACAATAGAAGAAATCTTCCGTCAACTGGACTGGACCAACAAAGGATTAAAAATATTAAGATGGAGAATATCTTCACCATCTAAGATTCGCTGATGACGTGCTAATTGCCAATAGTCCTGAGAAACAACAAGGACAAATTAACAAACTAAATACAGCCAGCAATAAAGTGAGTCTCAGAATAAATCTGGCAAAAACTAAAGTAATATACAACGAACTAGTGGAAAGAAAAGACATTCTAATAAATAACACAACACTGGAAAAGAAGAATAAATATATTTAGGACAACTAATACACAGCTCGGGATCTCTACTACCAGAAATCAACCTAAGAATTAAGTTTGCAATGTTAGCATGGAGTACTTATGGAACAAACTCAATCATATTCAAATCTAGAATGCCATTATATCTAATGAAGAAAACATTCAATCAGTGTATACTACCAGTCATGACCAATGCATGCGAAACCTGGGCACTTATATGCTACATAATATGCTGGGAATAACCAAGAGAGTCCGTAAAAGAATAGAGTGGACAAAAGAGGCAGGTAATAGATGTCATCCACTGAATAAAATTCCTCAAATGGCAATTGACAGGACACCTGGCAAGAAGAACGGAGAATAGATAAACCACAAAAATTACAGCATGATACCCAAGAGGAATTAAGAGAATTACGAGATATTAGGAAATTAACAAAGATATCTTGGGCCGGCTTAGCCAACAGTAGGCAACAATGGGCCCAACTACAAAGAGAATATGCGAGGGAGGCTACACTATAATTTGGAAATATAGAGAGTAGTAGTGGGAACTATCGAATGAATACTATCGAAACATTCGATAGTTGCAATTCATTCGAATAATTCGATAGTTAGTAAGAAAACATTCGTTGAAAACTATTCGAATAAAAATTATCGAATAGATCCGTCATCTGCCTTGAAATATTGTATTCTAGTAATTCGGCAGCAAAAACCATTCATTTATAAAATTCATTCATTTATAAAATGCATTCATTTATAAAATTCATTCATTTATAAAATTCATTCATTTATAAAATTCATTCATTTATAAAATTCATTCATTTATAAAATTCATTCATTTATGAAATTCATTTATTCGTCAGGATCGATTATAATAAAATATTAACTGAATTTTAGTTGTCGCCCGGCGACGTAGGTTTTTTCCGAGAAAGCGGTCGGTGGCAATGCTATGAAAGAAGCCGGCATCTTTGATTTTTGCGGAGTCATATATAGATAAGGACACATTATTTTTTTATTGAGGTGCTAGTATTTACACAGAAAATACATTATGAAGGGCGCTGTTGCCATATTTTTGTATTAGTTGATATTAGCAAAGAATATTATTGTTTGGCTTTAGTTAGTTAGGGATAATATGTCTATATATTCTGCATTTTTTTATTAATATTCTGTTGTTACACTGCAATAATACTTGTTATTTTGGATGTAGGAAAATTATTTTTAATATTTTTAAGCAAAGACTGGTTTAATAAATAATAATAACAGTAATAATTTGTTATACCTATTGACAACAAAATTTAAAATCATTTAATATAAATATTTTTTTAAGTAGTAGCAAAATATAAACAACAAATTAGATGTCAAAATTATTTATATTAGATCCTATTTAAAAATAATATAGTCTCTAATTTTTTTGGCAACGTTGGTTTATCAAATAATAATAATTACAGAACTAATTTGTTATATTAACAACAAATTTTAAAATCATGAAATATAAACATTTATTAATTTTCTAAGCAAGCGGTGTAATGGAAGGAAAATATAAATAAAAAATTAGAAATCAAAATTATTTATATTAGGTGCTTTATATTACTATTTAAAAATTATATTTACTTTTACTGGCATTTACTTTAAAAAATAAATGAAATATTTCTTCATAAAAACTACATGTAAGAGAATTAGCATAAACAAAATACAAACATCGTTAACTTTTTTTTTAAATTGGCACGTGTAAAATTTTCATTTTAATTTTCTCACCCCATAGTTTGAGTTCGATAACCATTTATTTAACCACATTACTTAAATATAATTATTAAGTTCCAACTAATTCATAGGTATTATTAAAACATCTAAAATACAAATATGTATTTTTAAAATTAATTGTAAGTTCATCTCATCTCTCTTAAAAATTGCTACTTCTCAAAATTTCCCATTAAAAAATAGACCATATACCATATAAAATGAAATAATTGAAAGATCGGACTACGGAAAACCACACAAATTATCTGAAAAATTTTGACCACCTGCACATGCACACAATCGTCAATAAATAAAATTAAAAAATAACTACTATTTTAGTATTTTAACTATTTTAATAAACGCAAAAATAGCACAGTATTTATACGGCGAAGTTATAAAAATTTGGAAGAACCAATAATGCACTGACGCATACAAAATCCAAACGAATACTAAATTTCATTTATCAAAAGCATTCGATAGTCGTGGCTCAACGATAACCATTTAGTCGCACGGCGAGGTTGTCACATATGCTTTAGTTTACAAATGAATGAATGATTTTATTCGAATAAAACCATTCGATAGTTGAAATCATTCATTCATTAACCATTCGATAGTCTAATTCATTCGATAGTTCCCATCGCTAATAGAGAGAATAAACTTGAAAATGATGATGCTGATGATGATGACAATACAATCAATTTTCAATTTAAAAAATGTATGGTTTACCGATATGTTTTAAGATGAAGAAAGTCACAGAAGCTTCGTTAAATATTTTGTGAAAAAATATATGAAAACTTACTTTTGGCTTTGGAAACTGTGGTGAACTTTCCAGGCTATCGTCCAAGAATTCGATTTTCGAATTAGGAGGTAGGGCAAATTCGTCCATCAGGAATGACTTTTCCAGTCGCCAGTTATAACAGGCAAATAAAAGGAATGACGCTATTTTTTTCACTTTGGACAGTTCTATTTTCGATGGGCACCTTAATAAGACAGTGGCGCCCAACCAAGGACATGGTAGGCCTTCGAAGAACATCAGCGTTTTTTGTGTACCTATATAGTACAAAATTTTATATATTTTATTTAACAAATCAAATTATAAATATTATATTGTTTTATTAGGAGCAAAAATGATACATACATCTTGTTGCGAAACTGTACGTTTGACCGTTATACGCGAGGTAAAATATGTCATTTTTTTCAAACATCACAAAAGTATTAATTTTTGCGACGTGATTGACAATATAAAAACATAATTTTAACGCATAGGCATAAAAGTAAAGAACTTTCACCTCTCCTAAGCACTGACTCGCTGGTCGCTGTGTTATGTAAATAAAACGACCGTAGTGGCTTGGGATCAAACCTGGTACCTCTCGCACAGCACATCGACGCACTATTACAGGAGCCCCAGCTGGCCACTAGATAATTATGCTGTGCTATTATATGTTCAATAAAATTCTCTAACTGGACAGACTATAGCTTCTCACAAATTATTTAATATATTATTCAAAAAACTATAACTTTACCCACCGTTTCCAACATTATATTTCTTCAAGTAGAACCGCTTACAGGTTCCAAGTTTGGGGCGTCCAATGTGAGCATCCACTGAAGTGATGACATCAGCTTGTGTGCATCTGGATAATCTCTCGAGTATAGTATGTTTGACGTTGTACACTAAAGTGATGTTATTTTTCCTTAGCATGTCTTGAGCCAGCCTGGAAACGTTTTTATGTACTAGAACAACGTCTGGACGAAGAGAGACTATACGGCAAGCTACATGGCGAAGATATTCGTGCTCCTATAAAATAGATAATAATTTTATCCATTAGAATAATCATGTGTACCAATCAATTTCCTTAAAAAGTAGCAAATCCTTGATTACAACGAATTTAATTTTATATAAAATTATTCATTAGTATTCAGGGTAAAACCGGGTTTTGCAATGGTTAATTCTTTGTTTTTTGTTTTCTTTATTCTTATTTGCATCCGACGACGCACGACGAGCGGTGATATATCTCGTGAAACTTTAAGTATTAACGAAGAAATTTTTGGTCAAATTTTAAAGTGTTATATTTTTGTTATTTTTAGCCCTATTTTCATAATTTTTTTAGCAAAGTTGTATATAATTATGTCAGCTTTAATTCATAAACTCAGTTTTTTTATAAACTTTAGTATTTGGCATATTATACAGGGTTAATCGAAAGGTTGATTTTTTACCTTAACTTGAAAACACGCTGTGCAATAATTGTGTGTGTAAATTTTCGTAAAATATAATTTTACGGTGAGAACCATGTCTCCTGAGCATTTAGTTTTTTGGATCATGTCCATACAAGCCTTTGTTAATTTTAAGAGCGAAATGAACTTGCCACCAACAATTTACAATTTTTTCAATTATCATTTCTATTTGAAGTTATTTTTAATATGACAAAGCGGCTTTGGTGATTATTGTGCACCATATACTACTATGAACTGCCCATCATTCGACGATTGGGAAATGCTTGACAGGAGGGTTAGAGGTCGCGAAGCGGTACAGGCTTCATTAAATGAACTTCGCTTGGTCATTAAAAAGAATGGAAAAACATGACGCAATATGATATATGCAGCCTCAATGACAGTATGAACGAGCATATACAGGCAGTTATATCAGCAAGGGCGGCAATACAAAGTACTTTTGTACTTAAAAAAAACAAAATTCTGTTTGTATACTTGATTATTTCAGATATTTTCTTTAATATCGTTGGTTGTGTTATCGTTATTAATGTTTATTAAAACCGGGATTGTATCATTAGTATTTAACGTTTTTTTTTTTAAATTTAATATAGAGTATCCAATGCAGCGTAATATGAAACCATCTCGTTATATTAAAAAATTACATCAAAAAGTAATGTAAAATAATGAAAAAATTGCAAATTGATCCTGATCAGTTCATTTCGCTCTTAAAAATTAACCAAAGCCATTTATTGACATGAATCAAAAAATAAAATTCTCAGGAGTCATGGTTCCGACCCCAAAATTATATTTTAGGAAAATTTACAAACGAAACTATTGCACAGGGTATTTTAAAGTTAGAGTAAAAAACAACCCCTCGATTAACCCTGTATAATATGCCAAATACTAAAGTTTGCAAAGTTGAAAAAAAAAATTGCCAAATAAGAAACTTAGTTTACGAATTACTTAAAGTTGATATAATTTATACACAACTTACTAAAAAATTCATGTAAATAAGGCTAAAAATAACAAAAATATAACACTTTAAACTGTGCTTTAAATTTGACCAAAAAATTCTCCGTTGCGTTTTTTTTTTGTATCAGAGTGAAGTTGCAAAAAAATCAGAAGACTTTTATGAAGAAATTGATAACGATAAGTTAGTTTATCATAAATTTTGTGGGCCACCCTATATAATGGCTTTAAGGCATGCCGTATTTAGCTACAAATTGTTTTAAAACAACATTTTTTGAAATTTGTAGCCGCTTATGAACTCCAACCACCCAGTCTCCGTTGCATTAACCCCATATTAACCCGTATATTTCAAAATGGTGAATGCGCACATATGGGACAAAATGCCTACTTTTGAAAAATGTTAATTTACATCCTTTAAATAATGAATACAAATATAAAAATAAATACTGTCGATATCGTAATAATAATTTTTGTGTATGTTTAATAATTACTGTGTATGTGTCTTATTATAATAACAAATTATTCTCTATAAAATATCAACAAAATTATTTACATAAACTTACAATATTTAAAAATTAGAGAATAATTTTAAAATTGTTACAATCCATCCTGTCCAGTCTATATTGTAAATATTAAATATACCTAACCTACTTTACTTTTAAATTGACACAACTAATGTACTATTTACTTTTTCACATTTTATTAATTAGCATAATTAAAATATGTTTTTTTTATAGAATCTGACGAATAAATAAAAATTTTTATAAAAAATAAATGATTTTTAAATCTATGATAGTAAAATTTCTAAACAATGAATATTAAAACTATGTAATTTTAAGACTTTCAAAATTTACGGTATTTATTTTACAAATTGGTGAATGCGCACCTGCGGGACAAAATGCCTACTTTTAAAAGGGATTTTTATCTCATACATAAATAATTTAAAAATTATAAATAATCATAAATGTATCTAAATCTTTGTTACATTTTTCAATAATAAATGTATTAATATTATATCCTTAGCTAATATCTGACTTATTGTTCTAATTCCCTAATATTTCTTCATACATTTTTTTACAAACTATAATACCTGCATCATAACTGGCTCCAAAGACATTAGTCTTCCTTCAGTCCTCTGATACACTATTGAACACTCGAGTAATAATATCTTAGGATTTTCAATATCTGTACACATTTCCTTATGTGCCACATTTTTAGAACATACAATACCATTCACCAAACAAGTATCGTTTTTGTTGCCTCCGGGAAGCTTTTTGATTTGAACATAGTTTCTTATATCTAATTCTATTGCATCATGATTTTTATCTAAAAAAAGAACTAAGTAGTTAAAAATAATTTGAATTATTAATTTGTCTTACCGGGTCTCACAACACTAACAATATCCTGAATTAATGGTAATAGAACACTTTCCCAAGAATGAGGTAGACTTCTTGAAGACAATAATTGTTTTAGAAGTGTTTGTTCATGTTGTTCGTAAGTTTCAGACAATAATTCATAAGCTTCCTTTTCACCATTCTCCTCTCTAAGTGTTGGTACATTGAACCATCCTTAAATAATAATTTTAAAACATTTTTTATACTTCGAACATTAAAAATTTACCTGATTCTGGAGCAAGCTCTCTCTGTTCTGATGGTCTAATAACAGTAGTTTCTTCATGCTCACACTGCTGAACATTTTCTACATCTTGGTTCTGAATATCATAAGATAAATCTGTAGGCCTTGACAGATATACCGTACTGGCCTCTACATTTAAGTTGAGCATGTATGAACTAGAACTAGATAACCCTGGCAGTGATGGAGATATTTGCTCATTTTCTGAATCTAAATAATAGGATAAAATATATAGAATTTAAGAGATATTATAGAAAATTTCTACCTGTATTGCTTGATTCATGTGATATTTGCTGAACCCAGCTGGGTTCATCCTGGATCGGGACTTCAAAATTTGGACTTATTTGTACAGGACTTGGAGAAAACAGATTTCCTTTTTTATATCTAACATAACCATCTGTAAAAATACTTGGCTCTGAGAATGATTCAATATAGCCACCTTCCAATAAAGCTTGACATAAAGCTGCTGCTTGAATCCTAATAAAAGAACAATTAACTATTTACTACCTAACATTTATGTTATCCTTACCTTGTTTTAGCCTTCTGTTGAAAAATTAACCAATCGACCAACTCAGAGCCCAAGAAACAATCTTGAAATGTCCTTAAGCGAAACTTATATGGAGAAAAGCTCACACCAGTGACCGGTTTGCATATTTCATCAAACAAATTACGTAAAGAAACAGAATTTTGAAGTGCTTTACACTTTTCTTCGTTAGTCAAATATGAAACTGAACTGAAACATATATAATTATATTAGAGACTTTCTCTTTCCTGGAAGAGGAACTTACCTTCCAGAAGCAAATTTCTCCTCTTGATACCCGACAGATATTTTTCTCCTCAATTGCTCAGAACTTTCTGAAGTATTTAAGTTAGATTTCTGTGATGTATCATATGAAAAAGAACCGCTTGGAGAGACACCAAATTTATTTTGTAAACTCTCTTGTAAAGCTTTTAAATCAGCAGTAAGATTGACTCCAAAATTCGAGGATTGGAGGTAAGAAAGTACAACTTTGCAACAGTACGTGCATACTCTTAAATCACCTAAATTCAAAGTATTTTAAAAAACAAGTAAATTATGTACATTAAAATAGTACCTGTACAACCAAATATTTTTCCTGGAATCTGTTGATTCTGATTGCAACATTGAGAACAAAATATTTGCCCACATACTCTACAGTGATGCTTTCTTCTAAATGTAGTAAACTTCTCTGAACACTCATAGCATTCTTTACTTACGGAATCTGGCATCCAATACTGTTTCAAATCTGTATCTGCATAATCTTGTAAATTCTATAAATTACTATCATTAGCTGTGGAAAAAAGATATAAACTACACATTACATTTGTCCTAAGAGCTACTAAATTGCTTATCCTTTTGAGAACATTCTGTAGACTTCGACCTTCGTTTACATCTACTGGGTAAATATTTGGAACAGGAGATTCTGAAGAATCGCTCGTTTCTTTCGCCCATGTTGGTACAGTTTCCTGAATAGCACAATTATTCTCAGGCGCGGAAGTCTCTTCTGATTTTGTTATTTTAAAAAATTTTGATATAAACTGTCCCACAGTTTGGGGTTTTTCCTCCTGTTGTAACGGAGCAAACTCTGTTAATTTTGTAGGGGTCTGTAAATTTTTACTCATTTTGATTCTAAATCATACTGCCAAGAAATAAAATTAAATTATTCACAAAATCACAAACAATACAAGACTTCATAAAACAAAACAATCGCAGAAGTTTTCTGTCAAATATTCTAGGTTAGATTATTTTAGAAAAAGAGGTCATATTTTCTATCTTACTTCACGGACATATGTTGTATCAATTTTTTGGTCTAAAAGAATGGTATTTTTAATTTAAATTAATCTGTTATATACATAACTTTATAGAATTTTATTTTTAAAAACTTCTAGATAAAAATCGTAAAAATAATCCAAGACATACTAGAGGCAAACGTTTTTTCTTTTTACAGGTACGACGAGTGTAACGTATTTCGTAACTAATGCGTCTCCAACATAGACTTAGAATATTTTATTCTAAGTCTATGGTCTCCAAGGATTCATTTCATTTGTTGACCTGTCATTTTTCAGTCATGTCACGAATGTCGAGTGAGGTGGTTTTATTTTGAGTTTGTGACGAGTTTTATAATGTTATTTTATTATTTATGATTCTGGCTCGGATTCTTTTGTAACAGTGTTAATTCCAAGAGAATGCGACAACGGTTCTTTATTTCGCCTAGAACATTTTATTGTGCGTGTAGTTTTTGGTGAAAAAGTGCAAAATATGACCGATTTAATAGTGCCCCGTGGTGATACGTTTCCGCGAGCTTTTCTGGAAACCTACAGAGCCAGCAAAAATACGGACTTTTACAGTGACCTAAGTTCGAGTAAAAGTGACGAATTAGTGTTGCAAAATTCTGCTGACATTCCCATAGCTGAAGAGATACAGCATGGTCATTCGGAGAATTTATTAGATTCTGGATGCATGTCGCCCACTCAGGAGGACTTTTTGGACAAATCCGACGTGATTTTACCAAAAACGTACCGGAATAAACGAAGTTCGGTGTATGATAGAGTGGATCCAGAAGACAGCATTAGGGACATTGTCAGTGAGAATGATTTTTATCGGTAAGTTCATTACAAGAATATTTTTAAATATTAAGAGACTAAAAGTAACTTAATTAGTTTATAAACAAATTCTAAATGTTTTTTTTTTCTATTTAGATTTGTTTTATTCAAAAAACACTACGACAAATACCTTCATTTGTCTCAGAAATATGAAGAGGCTCGAAATATCGCATATTACCTGGAGGAGAAATATCACGAAGTTAAGGTAATTAAGTATAATCACAATATTTTTATTTTACAATAGTTATCAGGTGTTAATTTTATAATTTTTATTAAGATAAGATAATCTAAAGTTACGAAATACCTGTTTTGCACTATTATAGCTGCTATACTTAAGGCTAGATAAATTAAGTTTTTAGAACAGACATATTCAAAAAATATTTAGCATTATTTACACTTAGGTCATTGTTTTATTTTGATTTGAATGGCCTTGACACTGACTATTTTTCAAAAATGGTCTAAGTTGTGTAACTTGTCGTAAAATCATGTGAATAATGACCATTCTCATATTATCTTTAAAAATGATTCAAAAATATACCTTCATTTGGCAGTTTTCCAAAATGAAAATAAGAAAAATGTGGTCTGTGCACTTACATATTCCTGAAAAAAGAATTTGTGTTATTCAATCCCATCACATAAATTTAGCTGATGTTTTGTAAACAAACAATACAATGACAAGGATGTTTCCCTAAACAATATCCTAATTTTTTATTTCTGGCTGTGACCGTCTCGTCTGTGGGAAAGTTTCAATGATTTTTGTTCTATATTTGCATACAATATAGTTTTTATTTAGGTCTGGGTCTTTCTCAAATAAAAATGAATGTCATTGTCAGTGCTTTTTTCGAAGCAGAAAAGGTACTTTCTATTTAATTACTTTAATAACAGGTAGTTTGTTTGGTTTTATGACTTCCCTATTTAAACGGTTTTCGGAAAAGATCTGGAATTTTTTCAATTTATTGAAGAGTAAACAAGTTTATTATATTAGAAACTCGTGGGTTGTAAATTTTTATTGTTAATAAGTGTTATTAGCCATCCCTCAGACACGTTTTTCAGGTGTTAAATGATAAGAAAAACCTCGAGAAATATAAAAATTGTTTTTATTTACACCCAATTGAGATGTGTCATTTCGTAATTTAATGTGGTATACGAAGAATAAAATCGGTGTCCAGTTGGCTTGGAAATGACGTTCGATGACAGCCGCCATATAATTTTAAATATATAAAATGATAGCGATCTTCATTTCATAGCCATCGCTGGCGCCGTTTTTTTTCGATCATACTGTGTTAATAATACTACCTGGAATACTGTATGATTAAATAAAAAATTATGATGTATTTCAAAACCATATTTTTATTTTTTAATGCATAATAATATAATCCAATATCTAATATTATGTGTAGAGATGAGCAAAACTGCGATTTTCCAATCGCAGTTGAAACTGCGATTGTGATTTGTAAATCGCTGCGACTGTAACCTGCGATTGCGATTTTGATATTTTTAAATTGGTACGCTGTAAACTGGGAAGCTCAATCCCAAAATTTTTGAGAAAAAACAGAATAAATAGGGGAATAATTTTTTTTTTAATAAAATCTTACAAAGAAACTGTTGGGTGTTTCGATGCCATATGCCTTTTAAAGTGTTTTTTTATGATATTTTTGCTCTGCACACATATTGCACTTAAAATTTTCATCAATTACCAAAAAAAAATCAAACCAAACCAAACCACAAATAACTTAGTTTCCTTTTTTAAACATTTTTGATTAGAATAGACCAAATAAATTTAAAAGGGAAAAAATACATAAAATGTTCAAAATATTCGAATGTGCTTTTAGACAGTCTGTACGTATACTAACGAAAAATTTATTATAAAAAAGGTTGCCGCCAACCTTAATTCAAATAACGAGAAAAAAACTGTTTATTTTATCTTTTTTTCTCTTAAAAACATTTTCTTTATATGTAACTCAAAAGAAGCCGACGCCGACGGCTTTGATGCGGCCCGTCCAGTGCAAGTGCAAACTTTCGAACTTTTAGATAAATAAAAAGACAATATCACATTTTATTATATTTGAAATTTCTCTAAAATGAAAAAACTGATTGTAAAGGATGTATTTAAATTAACATAGCAGCCGATCCACAACTGTTAGTATATTCAGAAAATTATATTATATTATGGATTGTTATAAAAATGTTTATAATAATATATATACATATAACAAAATATAATAAAGAGAAAGGGCTGTTTCTTTTTCGTGCTCTATATCTTCTAGTAAATAAAGGATAAAAATAGATCATTTTTTATAATTTGAATCCAAAACTGTCCTTGAATGAATTATTTTATCTGAATCATTACCTGGGAGCAACTGTAACTATAATTAGTCATAACCGAAAACAAGAATTTTTAACCTTCTAAATCCATAATTATATTATAAATCTAAAACTATTATCAAAATTTAAAACTAAAAAATTATACATATATATTATGCGGTATATAAACATATATAAGCCTATTTTCCAACGCTTCATAAAAATAACGGGGCCCTGATGGCGAATGTGATTTTGCGATCTAGTCTAGGCCGATGTGTTGGGAGCTGCGAACGAAAATCACAATCGCCGCTCTTCGTTGGCGTGCCCACTCCCGATGCCGCGCCGCCGGTGCCAACGAAAATCGCAATCGCAATGCTGGGATGAGCTGCGATTTTCGTTCAGCTCCTCGTTCGCCTGCCCACTGCCGTGTTGATGACGCGCCGCCGCCAGCCGCCAGCCGATGTGCCGGAGAATCGCAATATTGCGATTTTCGTTCCCAGCAAGTTCCCAGCTCATCGTTCGGCTTCTCAGTGCCGTGTCGATGCACCGCCGCCGGTGCAAACGAAAATCGCAATGCTGTGATTTTCGTTCGCGTGCCCACTGCGATTGGAAATCGCAACTGGTGTAATATTGATTGCCTAAAAATCCAAAATCGGCAGATATATGTTTCAATCGCAAGTCGCAGTTTGTTATGGAAAGGAATCACAGGTTGCGATTGCGAATTTACAATCGCTGCGATTAAATCGCAGTTTGCGATTTTCTGCTCATCTCTAATTATGTGTATCACAAAAAATCACAAATTTGCCTAATGCCATTTTTTTTGTTATTTCCAACCTACGTAAATTATAATTAGGTATATTGTATTTGTATAGAGGAATAAATAATTATTATTCAGAATTAATTTATAAGTAGGTACATAACAATATGTTTACAGGGTGACACACTATTCCAAAATAACTTTAGGCCTATCAGCAGTGGGATTCTGTAAGCTCCGTAGCAAGAAATTTCCTGTCTAGCCTATGTAAAAGCCTTGTATATGAATTTTTAAAGTAGCTCAACCTAAGACGTTTATGGATGTAAAGCACCAGATGGCGGGGCGTATTTCACTGTCTTTTACTACAGAAAAATATTTTTTGTTACTCTGAATTTTGAAGCGACCAATAAAAACAGAGAAAATAAAAATCGATAATTTTCGGACTGTGCCAATTGGTTACTAATCGACCAGATACTTTTTATCTATTAGATATCCTATAAAAGCTGGTAATTATACAATTCGACCATTGTAAATACCTGACAGATTCCACAAGGCCGACGAGGCCGATGCTTTTCACTGATAAGAAAAAAAATGTTTGTTTAGATAATTTTCGAAATATTTTTTCTTTCTGAATGCACATTTTTAAAGTATTTTATATTCTTTGTCCGCTTGATCTATTATACTGGACGCACGTATCGAAGTTCTGTTTTAAACAATGTTCTTATTTCTTTGTAGTTGTAGTGGTTGTAGTGTAAAATTAGATTAATTTTATTAAGTTTAATTATAATGTTTAGTGTAGAATACCAGAAATAGTTTAGTAGTGTTTTTATAATTTATTATTTTGTAGTTAAATACTAGGTAAAGGGATAATTTGGTTATTTTTTCTTTTTGTTACATTAATTAGTAAGTTTGATAATTTTTTCAGTGTAAAATACAAGAAGTAGTTGTGTAGTGTTTTGATAAGAGATTATATTCGTTTATTTTGTAGATGAGTAGTAGGTGAACGTATTTGGGTATTTTTTCTTTTTGTTTTTCTTCTAATTGTAGTAATTCTATTAAGTATTGTGATAGATAGGTATATATTATCTTCCTTCAACTTCGTTGAAAAGTGCGTTATCATATAATTTTGGTTTTCTGGTAGTAGAATATACGAAAACAAAAGCTGATCAAATTTATTTTAAATTAAATTAATCGAGTCTTATTAATCAAATTAATCTAGTCAAATAATAATAATAGTTAGTTTCTAAATACTATACAGGGTGAGTTTCCTACGATGTTCTCTATGGGTATCTCGGAAACTACTGGAGATAGAGAGTCGGTTAAATGGGGAAAGAATTGAGTTTTGTGGGTCATAAATATGCGCCTTTCGGATTTTTCGGAGAATTTCAAGGCTTACTAGATATTTCGAAAAAAACAAATTTTGGCTATTTTAAAACTCGTCTCTAATTCCATTATAATCTACTGTATGATCGAATAAAAACGGCTTCAACGATGGCTATGAAATGAAGATCGTTGTCATTTTATATGTAAAATTATATGTGAAATATCATCGATCGTCATTTCATAGCCATCGCTAACGCCGTTTTTATTCGATCATACGGTATTTTATACAAAAAGTTTTCAGATAAAAGTTGTAGATAATCACATACCTAATGAGTTTGTGTTTTCTGTTTTTTTTTCTAAAGCCTGTCATTTTTGACATATGACACAAACATGTTTTTTTTTTAATGGAAACCCTAGTTGGCTATGACTTCATAAAAAGCGCCATTCTTTAAGCTTTTCAGCGATATAGGTATAATATGTTTTTTTCGAAAAATTACAAGTTATAGTCAATTCTTTTGTTTCTTGGCTAATTCCCATACCAATAATACCATGCCAATTAGTAGGCATCAAAAATATAAAAAGTTTATGTTTTCAAAAAAAAAATATCGTAAAATTCGTAAAGCACTCAATTTAGATGATTCTTTTATAAACCTGCATTAAATCAAATTAAAATAGGTATGTAACTTTTTTTTTAAATATTAATTAACAGCAATTAGCATTATCATAAATTATAAATAATGTACCAACATATCGAAATAATAATTTCTTTGTTAATACGGTTTAGAATTCCTAAAATAATAGACAAAAATAATCCACAATTTACAATAAAATAAAAGTTTCGTTTAGATTTCTTAATTAGCTGATCACTATTAAAGTTCGTAGAAACCCGGGCTATATTATTACATTACTCTGAGGAAAATAACGAAAATAATCGATATTTTTGACTCCGCCCCGAAAGGTTCACGATTTGTCCTCCAGTTGGCAGCACATTTTGTCTAGTCGGTTGCATAACTTTAAGAATATATAAACAAGGGTAAAAGTTACTATAAATGTAACATAGTTTAATGCTAAAAAATGTCGACATATTCACCAGGGATGTGCGTATGGGTTATCGTTATCAGTTATCACTGGAATATTTTTCTAAAAAAAGCATGTACGCCACCGAATCTTTTTCTCTTTTTAGCAAAATAATGTTTTTTTTTGTAATTATCTTAAATACCACTATTTTTTTATTTGAAATTGTTGTTAGACTGGACTCTAATAATAATAATAATTAATAGTAATAATATTTAATAATAAATTAGATAAAATATATAATTTATTAATTTTATTTTTATTTTAATTTTATTAATTGTGATTACTAAAATTGTGTTTATCAAGGAGACCGAATTCGACAAATATCAAGAGATAACTTTTAATTAACATTAAACGACTACAGCATTTTGATATCAAAAGGAAAAGTCAGTTGCGCACATGTTTTTTTTTTGTTCCTGATGAATTTATCGACACTTTTTTAGCATTAAAATATGTAGCACTTATAGTAATTTTTCCCCTTAAAATTTCATTCAAATCACTAAAAGTACTTGGAAGAAAGTTATAATAAATGGAGAAAGATTATTAGGATTTTAACACCCTGTAGCTACGAAACAAAGCAGAATCGGACCTACGTTGATATGAAAAATAAATCTTATTTTTTCGTGAGGAATCTCCCCACGAGAGATGGCACATGTCTTTTGAAACACCCTGTATAAACAATTATTATTTACTTCAACAAAACTCACCTCCTTAACAGCACTTAAGGGAAATAAAGGACCACTACTACCGCTTTCCCATTCAAAATATTCTAACAAGGTTGCGATGAGTTTTTTGCAACGGCTATTAAGCTATCTTGTACCACTTCGCACTAAAAGTGGTTCTAAAAAGAACAATGTTCGACTGCAAGGTATGCTAGTAAAAAATGTTAACTTTAAAGTCGAGCTTAAATAAGGTTTAAATTTCAAAATAATTTTTGTCTCAGATAAATACAGGGTGTCCCAGAAATAAGTGCAAGTATTTTAAGGAGTGGTAGATCTCGATAAAATAAACATATTTTCTCTTTACCTTTTTTTAAATAAGTCCAAAATAACGGAGTTATTTTACTTTGAAAATTTCCAAAAAAATGATTTGTTGTTCAAATTTTGAGAACCACTATATCTTTTATGGATTTTCTTTCTTGTAAATTTAATCTACTGCGTATGTAGCCATATTATCAAGAAATTATGTTTTTTTATCTAAAAACTAAAAAAAATCCAAAATTTTGTTCGAAAAATTCCGAATTTTCAATTTTTTTGCGAAAAAACTTATAGGCGTGTTTCTGGGGTTGAACTATACTACGAGTTAAAATACTTGCAGTTATTTCTAGGACACCTTGTATAGTTAGTTATTTCTATAAATTTGTAATTAATCTAGCACTTTATTACTCTATCAAAATATAATTTCTTGTTCAGTATTTTTTCCAACCATCATATGAAAGTAAGACTTAAAACGACCTAAAATAAAGTAATTAAAGGATTAATAATTGACTCTCTATACTGATATGTAGTATTAAGATGGTATTGCCCTGTGATAATTGTAGATAATAGAATATACAGGGTGTCCCACCTGATGAATCTTTATATTTACAGTTATTTTTAATAATATTGAAATTTATAGTAAGCTATTACCATAGTGGGAAAAGTTACCAGAAACGAGCTATACAGTTTATAAGAAATGTCTATACCTATGTGGCGGATTCATCTCTCCAAAAAATTCCTATGTTTATTGTTTTGTAGATTTTCTTGCAGTGGCGAAAAACCTATATAGGAATTTTTATACAGTTTATTTTATTTTTTTTTAATTTCTTTTCCAGACTGAAAGAGACGATCTGATCCAGCAACGGGATGAGCTCGCCAGAAGACTGGAATCCAACGAATGCTTGATTCGGGAAAAAGAAGACGAAGTATTTTTACATTTAGAGCGCGTTGTTTACTTAGAGGAACAGTGCGATAAGGTAAGTCACTCAGATTTTTCGAATTATTGACTAGTCCAGTAGTTTTGGATTTTTTTTTAACAAAAAATAGTGGATTGAAAACAGGGTGCAATGATTTAAATCAACTGTTTTTTTTTATATTTTAATCATGGATTTAAATAAAAAAATCAATTTCTATAAAAAAATTATGATAAATCGAAAGATAACTGTAAAAATAATAAAAACTTTTCCTTGTAAAGTCCTAAAAAAGTATTCTTATATCAAATATACCCTATATCTATTCATCAAATAAGTACAAAGTTACACTTGCTGTTGTAACGTTTAAATACTTTAATAGATCGACAAATAATTCTAAAAGTTATAACATATAACACATATCCCTAATATTTATTCACCTATTAAAATGTTGGACCGATTTTTAAAGTTATTTCGTGTGAATCCATTACACTTCTAAATGGCAGGGATTTATTTTGAAATTGTGAAGTGCCAGAAATCCGGTATTTGAATATATTTCATTTGCAAACTTTAGTGCAGGACTAGTTTCTAGTTTCTTCTGATGTCAGGTTATATTTTTATTCCCGAGGAATAAATAATCAATGTCAAAAGATAAGCTGGAGTCAAGGCTGTTTTATCCCTTTTTTGATACAGCTGAATGTTGATCAAGATAATTTCCGTCTTCCTTAATTTATCTTCTAGTTCATTCCACATTTCTACCGACATTTTGTTCTGCAATAAGTACTTTGCACTTTGAACATGAGATGGTACTAATTTTATTCTCGACTTAAGACAGTCATGAGTATTTCGAAAAAAAATTCTTTGATCTAAGTGGCCGATTTTTTAGGGACATTTTAGGAAAATAGGGGCATCGGCAAAGTTTACAAAATAAAATATATCGGTGACCGATGTGGAAAAACGATACCCGCCGTAGAAATGTTAATATTGTCAATATCGGGCAGAGTTACAAAGATGTAGCCATTTAGGATAGGACATTAAATAAAAAATTGGGATAACTCTAATTTTTTTGAAGTTTGTTAAAAAAGTTGTTTGTTGTATAAAAAGCATTCATAAAAAATATATATCCTTCAAATCCTTACCAAAAACCACCAAATTTAATAGCAGTTAGTAAGAAGTTTCATTCGTATATATTTTTACTCGAAAACGACTAGTAGACGAACTACAATCGGATGAGATTCTGGGAATGGTCTCGGATCTCAAACCACCAATCCAACTCTTGACGCGCACCTACAACGTCCTGTGTCCGAATAGGGAGGAATGGGATAAGCCGAGAAACATGCATGCGGAAATGTGTTGGTACACGGACGGATCGAAAAACGATCTGGCGCAGGAATTTACTGCAGCAGTCTAAAGACTGAGATCTACCATCATTCCAAACCAAACCAAACACACCACAATTTTCCAAGCTGAGCTAATGCTATTGAAACCTGTGTGCAACTGCTGGTAGAACAGCAATACACCGGGAAAACAATAAGCATATTTTCGGATAGTCAAGCCGCGTTGAAAGCACTTGAGGCAAAGAAAAGCACGTCTATGACGATTCTTCATTGTAAGAAACTACTCAATATATTAGGAGATAGGAACAAAGTGTCGCTAATATGGATACCGGGACGTATCGGCCTAGAGGGAAATGAACCTGCTGATTCTCTCGCCATTCGTGGGCCCAGAACCAACACTTAGCGTTCCTAAAAATCTCGCAAGAGACAGGCTCTGTGAATTGGTTAGGGGTACGACGTTTCGGGACTGGTATGACAGTTCCGGAATGGAACATGCCAAGACAATCCTAGCCGGGCCATCCATACGTAGAATACATGAACTCCTAAAGGCTGGTAGGAACGGAACGCATACGCTTACTGCAGTATACACGGGCCACTGCCGGCTGAGATCACACCTACAGAGGATGGGACTGGTGGAAGACGCCGAATGCCGACTCTGTATGGAAGATACGAAACAATGAAGCACGTTATGTGTATCTGCCCCGCTGGGGGTAGGACCAGGTTTGAGATGTTTGGCAAACCCACGCTAGACCTATCAGACCTAGAAGACATATCACCCTCGGACATAATGGCCTATGTTAAAAGGCTGGGTCTTGAGGGTGAACTTTAATGCTCATTTCTAATAAAGAACTTGTAGAAACTGAGCCACAATAGGCCCTTGCGGCTGCACTGGAGATTCCCACCTGGGACCCACTCTTAGTCAAATACAAAATACAAATACAAGAAGTTTCACTTCAAATATGCGAACATAGTGCGCACACAATTCTTTTTCATTCTTGTATCGAATTGGATAATAAAGTTATTGGGCTATAAGTCACCCACATTTTTCGAATTATTTCGAAACAGTAGGTACCTAATTAGTACCGTATGCAAATGAGATTACTAAAATTAAAATAAAGAAGGCTAATGCCATTGCGATGCGTGTACGTGCCTCTTTGCATTTAAATTGATATATCTTGTTATTATTCATACTTCGATGAATATTAGCGCAACTTAAGCAGAAATTCCACGGACACGTATATAGAATTATAACTTCTTGAAGTGAGTCAAACTGGTTTCAAATGAATAAATGTATGAGAGATTTTTTATTATTTTTACAATGATGGGAATTGTAGAGAATGCATTTTTTATTTTCTTTTGGTGTAATTCTAACCAAGGCTCCATTAATAATTATATTACTCAAAATTAATTCCCTGTTCTATCGGGAATCAACTCGGGTAACTTCTTCTCCCGGTGCCGTGCCTGTCTTTTGCGTTGGCGATCTCCATGACTATATTTCGTTGAAGAGTTCTCTATCTTTTGCTGCATAATATGCTCATAATCTGTTGCATGCTTGCATGAAACATCCTCTCCACCCCCAGACCGGTCCAGTTCCGTATATTTCTGAGCCATGACAGTTTCTTTCGACCTACCTATCTTCTATCTTCGACTTTTCCTTAAACGATCAAACGAGGAATATAACATTTGGTGCCACGCATTATGTGTCCGAAGTAGCTAACCTTTCTGGCCTTGATGGTGGTTCTCCGGTAGCACCACATTGCAAAGGCCTATTTATATTATCGACTTTTAGCGTCCATGTCTTGCATCCGTAAAGAAGAGTGGACCATAGGGCACAACGTAGTGTTCGTAATCGGGTTTTCAGTGACAGGTTTCTATTAGTGGGCGTGGTAATCCATTTATTGAATATTTTACGTGCCATTTCAATTCTTGCTTTTACTTCCACTCAGGTAACAATAACTAAAAATCATTTTTTGTTACGTGCGAAAGTCCTTTGCAAAAAACTCTTCTAAATAAGATGTGATGCTATTTCCTATTGTCTTACTTCTTTTCTGTTTTGAAGTTCCTATAATGTTTATTAGCAATTACTGAAGTTTAAATTTAGTATATTGTTCTTTGATATTTGTTATACAGGGTGGTCCGAACTGTATTCCGGAAACTTTGGCAGCATATTCTGTAGATAAAAATAAATAAAAAATTTTGTATAAACGTATGTCCTAAAATGCCTAGTTTCGGAGATACAGGGTGTAGAAGTTTCATTTTTATTTCGATTTTTTTCAAGTAATTTCTGAAGTAACGTCAATATTTAGATGAAAATTGGTGTTTGGGAGTTTTTTGACAAGAGAAATTTGATTTTGATGTCGATATGACTCCTATTTGTAGGGGGCGTCCCTTATATGTGTTTTAACTGCTTTGAAGAGTAATAACTTTTCGTCCGTACCTGTATAAAACTACTGAATGAAAAAATATACATTTCCGTGATATATACATATCCCTACGAGCAACCTTTCTCAATTTATTTAGAATGGTAAATGTCAATATATGTCATTATTGACTAAAAATAAACATGTTGAGTAGATAATTATTTGACTGAAATGATATCTTTGGCAAGTTTTTATTTTTTAAACGAATTATAAATTTTTCTTCGGAAAAATGATGATAAAACAGTTTCTGTTGAACTTTTGGCAAAAAAACATTTCAAATTTATGATTTCAGTCTAAAAACTATTTAGTCAACATGTTTAATTTATGTCAATGAAGACAGGTATTGATAGTTTCGATTTCAACTATCTCGAGAACCATTACTCGTAGCGATTTTTACCAAGAGACCTTTTTTACGTGAAAAATGTCGTAAATGTATATTTTTCTACTCAGTAGTTTTATACAGGTACGGACGAAAAGTTATTACTTTTCAAACCAGTTAAAAAATATGTATGTGGCGCCCTCTAGAAGTAAGAGACATATTGACCTCAAAATCAAATTTCTCACGTCAAAAAACGCCCAGACACCAATTTTCATCCAAACATTGACGTTACTTTAGAAATTATTTGGAAAAAATCGAAATAAAAATGAAACTTCTACACCCTGTACCTCCGAAACTAAGCAATTTAGGACATAATTTATACGAACTTATTTACTTATTTTTATCTGCAGAATATGCTGCCGAAGTTTCCGGAACACAGTTCGGATCACCCTGTATTTTATGTTATGTTTGACAAAACTTAATATTTTAAGATAAAGTTACTGACAAAATTTAATATTTTTTTTTGATCAAGGTTTTTTTTTCTACTAAGTGTAGTTCCTTTTCCGACTTACTGATATGTATGACTCTCGGAATATTTAAATTTATTTTGAGTAGTTAAATTTTTATTATAAATAGTTAATTATTATCAAGAGTTCAAAAAACTACAGTTTATATTAGCAAGTCATTTTGATGAGTAGAATGCCCTATTTTTGGCCCACAAAATTAGTAATTACAGTCAAATAAAAAAAACTAATAAAAGTGCTCAAGGTAAACAACAAAAGCTATATAATTATTAATGTGTCCATAAGTAAGATCATAAATATTTATTGAATTATTCAATTCTTTTTCAAATTTATTATATTAAAAAATAAATACAATTATTGCTATGCAAGTAAAAATGTATTTATTCATTACTTCTTTATTGGTGAAGAATACCGAATACGTAAACAAATAAAACATAAAAACAAATCTATAACCTCCATAGATATTATAATCCAAATTACAGGGCAGGGCGTTACGATTGATAGCACTATCTATTATTTTGGATATTAATTATTCATAAACATATTCCTAGCAAAAACCCAAAGAACAGCTTACTATGCACTTTGACTACTTTTATAATTTAAATTATCCAAAAATAACCGAAATAATGATGAAGTAACAAATAAAATGAGTGTTAGTATAGTCTGTCCAACAGGAGCGTCCCTGACAGTGACAGTTGTGTATGTCATCTTAATTCACAGGCATTTTCTGTCATTTTTTGGTCTGTCGAAATGTTTCCCGAGACGTTGGACAGACTATACAGCGTGGTCCGAATTTTATTCTAGTAACTTCGGCAGCATATTCTGCAGATAAAAATAAGTAAAAAAGTTTCTATAAATGTATGTCCTAAAATGCTTAGTTTCGGAGATACCGGGTGTAGAAGTTTCATTTTTATTTCCATTTTTTCCAAATAATTTCTAAAATAACGTCAATATCTGGATGAAAATTCGTGCCTGGAAGTTTTTTGACATGAGAAATTTGATTTTCATATTAATATGACTCCTACTTGTAGAGGGCGCCACCTACATGTTTTTTAACTGGTTTGAAGGGTAATAACTTTTCGTCCGTACCTGTATAAAACTACTGAGTAAAAAAATATACATTTACGACGTTTTTTACGTAAAAAAGGTCTCTTGGTAAAAATCACTACGAGTAATGGTTCTCGAGATATTTGGAATCGAAATTATCAATACCTGTCATCATTGACATAAATTAAACGTGTTGACTAATAGTTATTAAACTAAAATAATAAATTTAAAATGTTTTTTTACCAAAAATTCTGCAGAAACTGTTCATTTTATTATTAATTTAAAAACATTAAAAATTTCCAAATTTATTATTTCAGCCAAAAAACTATCTACTCAGTCATGACATGTATTAGTTAAACACACGTAGGTGGCGCCCCCTACAAATAGTAGTCATATTGACATCAAAATGAAATTTCTCATGTCAAAAAACTCCCAGCCACCAATTTTCATTCAAATATTGACGTTCCTTCATAAATTATTTGGAAAAAATCGGAATAAAACTGACACTTCTACATCCTGTATCTCCAAAACTAAGCATTTTCGGACGTACATTTATATAAACTTTTTTACTTATTTTTATCTGCAGAATATGCTGCCGAAGTTTCCGGAATACAGTTCGGACCACCCTGTATACGCTAATCCATAATGTGTGACAAATATCAAATATCCCTTTATATAAAAGTTTCGTTATTTTTTTTCAGATTAGAGCTGAAAAAGAGAAGCTTCTACAAAAAAAGAACCTTATTGAGATAGAACGAGATAGAACTTTGAGACTGGTGAGTATTAAATATAATAAATAGTTAATTAATTTTACTAGTACAGGGTGGGTCAAATTCGACGCTTTTAAATGGAAATACCCTTTTCTATAGGATATAGACGAAAACTAATATCGGTGTCTGGAGCTCAATTTTCATCAAAAACATGATGGTGAAAACCGCACATCAATATCTGTTACCAAGTTATATCTGTTTCGGAGTTACGGGGTGTTTTTCAAAAATGTGCATTTTTAACAAATCGCTGTAACTTTTTTGCTATGGAAAATTTGGTATTTCTATGAAAACATTTCCAAAGCACCTTTTTACGTAGAATTTAATGGTTTAAGTATAATTTTTTTAAAATTAATAATTTAAGAGTTATTAACAGAAAAATTGATTTTTTATTTGGGACACCCTCTATATTTTTAATTAACTGAAAATAATTTAAAATTACCTTCCCAAAAATATAGCACACTTTTAACTAGTAGGCTTTGGACCCCTTATTGATGATATGCCGTTAATGGAACTCGAAAACATATTTTTCTAGCACGACTGAACACTGAAGTTATCAGCAAATTTTTGCAGCCAATTTAAAGAATAATTGAATAGCTAACTAAGATCCCAGCCGTTAGCCGTCGAGGCTGCCTGACTTCTCATGAGTGCCCATGGTCTCAGTGTCTAATCCTATGGATATATTTGCCGAAGAATAAAGGTTCCTTATTCTTCCGTATAATCTAGACAAGAATTAGAAATACTTAGCAGTTATTAGAGGGTATCTTTCACCCTACTAAGTTAATGAATTCCGCGAAAATTGTTCAAAAACTGCCCCGTTTGTCCATAACAGAAGACGGTTGATATGTCGAACACCTGTAGCAAAATCTCATGTCTTGGTTTGCTATTTATTTTTATTGTTATTAGATATAGTTTAAATGTGATGATGTTGGTGAAATATATTTTAAATTGTTATAAAATTCTGCATCTCTCATAGCAAATATTATTTTCGTTTTAATTGATGCTCACAGCTAGAATTTTTTTGCATTACAGCCGGTGCCGTTCAAAGCCTACTTATTTAAAGCGGGCGAATTTTTATATACTCTATATCTCGAAGAAGAATCGAGCAAAATATCAAGTGTGTTATATTTTTGGAAAGGTAATTTTAAATTCTTTTCAATAAATTAAAAATATACAGGGTGTCCCATATAAAAAATCAAATTTTCTGTTGATAATTCTTAAATTATTAATTTTAAAAAAATTATACTTAAACCATTAAATTCTACGTAAAAAGGTGCTTTGGAAATGTTTCCATAAAAATACAAAATTTTCCATAGCAAAAAAGTTACAGCGATTTGTTAAAAATGCATATTTTTGAAAAACACCCCGTAACTCCGAAACGGTAACAGATATATGCGGTTTTCACCATCATGTTTTTGACAAAAATTGAGCTCCAGACACCGATATTAGTTTTTGTCTATCTCCTATAGAAAAGGGTGTTTCCATTTAAAAGCGTCAAATTTGACCCACCCTGTACATACATAGTTTCAAGAAAATGATTTTAAATATATTGTTTTACTTCAGTTACAGGGACAGGCAAGAGAATCAGAGTGTAATAGACGGAAATTAGAAAGAGCAAGGCAGGAGGTGGTTCACCATTTGACCAGGATGAAGAATGAAAAAGAAAGCTTAGAGAGAGAGGTAAGATAAGTATACTATTGAGTCTACAATATATTTTTTTAAGTGTCTCTTTTCTCTTATCTTCAGAATTGGAATGACAAACTTTTATTAATCATATTTTTTTTATTTTTTATTAAAACTGAACAAAAAAAAGAAAAAATTATTTTTTTTTCTTTATTTTTTTTAAAATTAATATTTTAACCTCTGACGTATTAATTAATATCTATTTTATTTATAATATAGTATCTATAGCTACATTCACAAAGTTAGAATGACAGACAACTGCCAGTGTCATAATTCTATTTTTGGTCAGACTATATGAATTAATATTTTTTTAAACTCCACTATAGCGTTTAATAGAGACTTCAAAAAAACAATTACCCTCAAGAGCTTTAGCTATAGATATAGCAAAACTCGTTGTAATGTCATTTTGACGCCATTTTTATTTAGCCGCACTGTATATTGACCCTTATTATAAGCGTATATATTCTGTGTTATAAGTAACAGCCAAATCCCTTTATGGCAACAGCGTACTATATCGAAAATGTCGGAGTTGCCAAGGGCGAGAAATATACCTCAATTTAAGGGAATGTTGTAACAAATATTGTTAAGGGGGATTATAAATTTAAATATAATATAAATTATACTATAATTAATATTCTTTATTTTCAGAATGACCAATTAAAAGAAGCTTTAGAGGCTGAAAGGAAAGGGGCAAGAAGATACCTGACACAAGTACAAAGGCGGAGGATTGATGCAGCAGAATATTCTGAAAGAAGGGTAAGTCCAAATGCTTTATTACAATTTGCTTTAATATCTTCAAATGTACAATAGTGCAAATGCAGCAGTATAGTAACATTAAATTGTATAATCATTTTTACCGATATTAATATTGTAGTAAGTATATGAATTCCAAAGTTTAATAACAAATATTGAAGATTTTTGTGTTTTTGCAAGGCATCTTTCTATATTTTCTTATTGCTTCTTCGCTTCGATATAATATGTAATAAATATATTATCAGTTATAAAATTTATTATACGAAAACGAAAAGATGTAGAAACAAAATATTTTATGGGTATATGGGAAATGTACAGGTTATGTCAGAACTAAGATCCACACCAAAGTTATATTTTTTCTTATGGAACATCCGGTATTTTATTTCATATTTCGATTTCTTTCGACACAAAATAAGGCATTTATTGTAAGGGTTACATATGTTTACAAGCTTTGGTTTTTGAGATATTTAAAGTTCGGACACCGGGTATATAGGATACTGTCATAAAATGTCTATACCTATGTGGCGGATTCATCTATCCAAAAAAATCCTTATGGGTTTTTCGCCACTGCACTACAAGAAAAATCTACAAAATAAAATAGTTATTTTTTGTAAACACTTCTGCGTTAAACCTAAACGGACGCTGCTTGTCAGAAGTTCTGTTTATTGTAATAAAAATTTGCCTAACAAAGAAAAAAATGCTTAACGTTTCGGAAAGTTTTCTCTTTCCGTCGTCGGAAGCAAAAAATATAAAGAATCAAGAAAAAAACTATTTAAAATATTTAAATTGAACTATTCGAGAACACTTTACTTTTTAAAACAGATACGTCTACAAGAAATCGTTGACGTTCTGTTAAAATGACATTATATTAAGTTAAACTTCAAAATTAACAATTACTACCTGATAATTACTTAATAAGGTAAAACCAAAAAAGCCCAAACTTTCTGTATGATTATTTTTTAAATTTCACGTATGTTATGTTTATTTATGTAATGTTCTTTAAAATCAAAGAAGCGATTGCCATACATTACTAACATCTACAGATGCATGAGCAATACATTTATTTTTATTAGATTGAATTAATAAAGCCTCTTTTATTTTTCTTTTAGAGGCTATCGCTTCTTTCATTATAATTTTGGCGTTATTAAAATTTATTCTGTGCCCTGTGTCCCATGAGTGCTGACAAATCTTAGATTTGTGAAAATCTCCCTTTCTTAAATAATCTTTATGTTCTTTAATTCTAACATTTAAGGGTCTAGATGTTTCACCAATGTAAAATTTATCGCATTCACAGGGTATTTGGTATATTACATTTTTTGTTTGTTCTGTATTCATTGGTTTAGTATGTGATAAAATTGATCTAAGTGTATTTTGTGTTTTGAAAGATGTTTGTATGTTATATTGTTTTCCTATCCTTCTTATTTTTTCCGAAACGCCTCGTATGTATGGAATTGTAAGTTGTATATATTGTGTATTGTTATCTTTGTGTCTATGATTTGGGGTTTGTATTTCGTTTAATGTTTTGTCAATAAAATATGGTGGATAGTCGTTTTTTTATTAATGTATTTTTTATGTGATTTATATCTTTGTTTAGTGAAATGTCGTCTGTACATATTATTTTTGCCCTATCATATAAACTTTTTATAACACCTTTTTTTACACTTATACTGTGATTAGATGTTATAAAAAATAAATGTTGTTTATTAAAACATTAAACGAAATACAAACCCCAAATCATAGACACAAAGATAACAATACACAATATATACAACTTACAATTCCATACATACGAGGCGTTTCGAAAAAATAAGGATAGGAAAACAATATAACATACAAACATCTTTCAAAACACAAAATACACTTAGATCAATTTTATCACATACTAAACCAATGAATACAGAACAACAAACAAAAATTTAATATACCAAATACCCACAATACAATGCGATAAATTTTACATTGGTGAAACATCTAGACCCTTAAATGTTAGAATTAAAGAACATAAAGATTATTTAAGAAAGGAGATTTTCACAAATCTAAGATTTGTCAGCACTCATGGGACACAGGGCACAGAATAAATTTTAATAATGCCAAAATTATAAAGAAGCGATAGCCTCTAAAAGAAAAATAAAGGGCTTTTTAATTCAATCTAATAAAAATAAATGTATTGCTCATGCATCTGTAGATGTTAGTAATGTATGGCAATCGCTTCTTTGATTTTAAAGAACATTACATAAATAAACATAACATACGTGAAATTTAAAAATAATCATACAGAAAGTTTGGGCTTTTTGGTTTTACCTTATTAAGTAATTATCAGGTAGTAATTGGTAATTTTGAAGTTTAAAAATATAATGTCATTTTAACAGAACGTCAACGATTTCTTGTAGACGTATCTGTTTTAAAAAGTAAAGTGTTCTCGAATAGTTCAATTTAAATATTTTAAATAGTTTTTTTCTTGATTCTTTATATTTTTTTGCTTCCGACGACGGAAAGAGAAAACTTTCCGAAACGTTAAGCATTTTTTTCTATGTTAGGCAAATTTTTATTACGGTAAACACAACTTCTGACAAGCAGCGTCCGTTTAGGTTTAAGGCAGAAGTGTTTACAAAAAATAACTATTTTATTTTGTAGATTTTTCTTGCAGTGCAGTGGCGAAAAACCCATAAGGATTTTTTTGGATAGGATACTGTCTTCATATTTAATGATTAAAAATGATACTTTTACTTTAACTTGTGTAGAAAAATTAATACATGTCTCATATTTTAAAATATACGCCGTAGATTTCTATAACACTGGTATTATATTTATTTCCTTAAAATTAAAAACAAAGATGCTGGTATTCTTAATGTAGGCGTGTATATGAAAGTTAACTATACCGTTAATTAACTACTTTGTTGATTAATGCTTTTGTATGTTGTTACGAAACCATTGTTAATTGTTGAAAATAAAATCGTATTTCGTGGTTTTGCTTTTTTATTGAGAATGCAGTGTATAGGAGAGATTTCCCATTAATAATGGACACAATACGCTCGGCTTTCTTATCAGTTCCTTTCGGTCTGTCGTTTTATAGAACTGAATAAATAGGACAGGCATTTCCTTTTTCTTTTTCCTGGATTGTTTGTTTATTTATTTACATACTGTGTCTTACCAGCTATAAAATCCTAAGATAAAATCCAATTAAAAGACAGAAGAAAAACAGGGTTAAAATAAAATAAAGAATAAACAAACAAATTATCATTTCAACCACTGCAATCCTGTTAGCTTTCTTAAAACACTCACCGGTACGAAAGACTGGCACCTTGAAATTGTCGGTTTTTTTTAGTTTTATACAGGGTGTGCCAGAAATAAATGCAAGTATTTTAACTGGTAGTATAGTTCAACCCCAGAAAGCCTATGAGGTTTTTTTCACGAAAAAAAATTTTGAAAATTCGGAATTTTTTGAAATTTTTTTTTAGTTTTTAGTTAAAAAACATAATTTCTTGATAATATGGCAACATAGGTAGTAGATAAAATTTACAAAAAATAAAATCCAGAAAAGATCCATCGGTTCTCGAAATTTTAGCAAAAAATATTTTTTTTTGGAATTTTTCAAAGTAAAATAACTCCGTTCTTTTGGACTTATTTGAAAAACGATAAAGAGAAAATATGTTTCTTTTATCGAGATCTAGATACCACCCCTTAAAACACTTGCACTTATTTCTGGGACACCCTCTATATTATGGTCTAGTGGACCGATTTTGATAAATTTTTAAGCAATTTGTAGCTAAATTATTTGACTTTTTAATATCTCTTTCTAAATTAAAAATGAAAGTTGTCATCTGTCAGTTATACGAGGAAAAACAAAACGTTGATATTTTGGTGAAAGTTTGAAACACCCTGTGGAGTACGATAACAAAGCCAGGAAGTTAAAAATATATTTTTGTCATCTAGGTGAATCTTTTCTCGATAGTTTGTTTTTTGATTCGTTTTGATAGCTTTATTTTTAGCCGACCATACCAACAGGTAGGGAATGCAATCCCGCACAAAAATCTCAATCCCGCAAAACCTCGGGACTAAAGCAATCAATCCCGCGGATCCGCAAAATTGCGGGACTATAAACAATAGTCATACATTTGGTCCTAAATGGTACAAAAGGCATTGTACATTTTGCATAGGCCCACAATATATTGATATAGCGTGTATCTTAAACTAGCTGTACAGAAATTTGAACCGATGTATACAGGGTGTTCAAAAAATATATTTAATATTAAATAAACTTAAATTTTATTATAAATTATCTACTTATTTTATAAATAAAAATATTATTCTGATGTTGATTTTTTTTAACTTGTGTTAGTTATCTACTTTTAGATACACTCTATATCAATAATTTTTTGGCATATGCAGAATGTATTATTTAGGACCACACGTATGACTAAAAATGCATATTTTTCGAAAAAACGTATTTTCCTTAAAACAAAAACAATTAAAATGCCGATCAAATTGTTTTTTCTAATTTCAATACAGATTAGTCGTACTTGGTAAAAATTTCGATTTTTTAAAAATTGTAAATTTGCGGTAAAAAAGATTCTTAACCAAATTTTCACACTCTTATAAAACACCCTGTATACGAGAATTCGCTAAATATATTTTCGAAAACTACATAGCATCTTAATCACAATAGATAGATGCATCTAATACCTGGTCCAAACCGCATCCCAAAATCTTTTTTAGTTCAAGATTTTTAAATTTACCCTAAAATTTTGCTTGTCCCGATAATTATGTCCGGCAGTTTATTTGACGAAATTGTCCACAAGTACTAGTTAAACGCTTTTCTTCACTTACACACATACGCCAGAAACATGCCAGAAAGAAATCTAACAACCAACCTGTTTGTTTCACTTATTTTTAATGGCCAAGCCGTAAGGGGAATCCCCGGGTTCCCAGCGTCTTTGCCAGCGTCGACGCATCGGCCCGGAACGAAGCGGTTTGATCTTGATCGCGATCGATTCGGTTACCCA